CTACAATGTAGAAAATAGTAAAAATAAAGAAAAACCCTTGAATGAGTAGGTGTGTCCAAACTTTTGACTGGTACTGTATATATGTTTGTATCTTGAGCACATGAATGTAGTCGTCAATGATTGTGACCGTACCCTTTGACAGACTAATACGTCAGATTTCATGCAATATCACTCTGTTGCCAGTTGGTGGAGCTGAATATTTGTTCAAGGCATAAAAATAGATACAGTGCCTTCATATTCATACCCCTCGACTTATTCCACATTTTGTTGATACGGCCTGAATTCAAAATTGATTACATTTCTCACCCATCTACAAACAATACCCAATTATGACAGAGTGAAAACATGTTTTTAGAAATGTTAGCAAATCTATTGAAAATTAAATACAGAAATATCTCATTTACACAAGTATTCACACCCCTGAGTAAATACTTTGTAGAAGCACCTTTGGCAACGATTACAGCTGTGAGTCTTTCTGGGTACGTCTCTAAGAGCTTTCCACACCTGGATTGAGCAACATTTGCCCATTATTCTTTTCAAAATTCTTCGAGCTCTGTCAAATTTGTTGTTATCATTGCTAGACAACATTTGCAGGTCTTGTCATAGATTTTCAAGTAGATTTAAATCAAAACGGTAACTTGGCCACTCAGGACCATTCTTTGTCTTCTTGGTAAGCAACTCCAGTGTAGATCTGGCCTTGTGTTTTAGGTTATTGTCCTGCTGAAAGGTGAATTCATCTCCCAGTTTCTGTCTGAAAGCAGACTGAACCAGGTTTTCCTCTATGATTTTGCCTGTGCTTAGCTCCATTCCATTTTTTTTCTATCCTGAAAAACTCCCCAGTCCATTACGATTACAAGCATACCCATAACATGATGTAGCCACCACTATGCTTGAAAATATGGAGAGTGGTACTCAGTAATGTGTTGGATTGGATTTGCCCCAAACATAACACTTAGTAGTCAGGATTTTTTTTTTTCAGTATTACTTTAGTGCCTTGTTGCAAACTGGATGCATGTTTTGTAATATTTATATTCTGTACAGGCTTCCTTCTTTTCACTCTATTAATTAGGTTAGTGTTGTTGAGTAACTACAATGTTGTTCATCCATCTTCAGGTTTCGCCTATCACAGCCATTAAACTCTATAACTGTTTTAAAGTCACCATTGGCCTCATTGTGAAATCCCTGAGCGCTTTCCTTCTTCTCCGGCAACTGATTTAGGAAGGACGACTGTGTCTTTGTAGTAACTGGGTGTATTGATAAACCATCAAAAGTGTAATTAATAACTTCACCATGCTCAAAGGAATATTCAATATCTGTTTTTTTTCTTTATTTTATACCCATCTACCGATAGGTGCCCTTCTTTGCGAGGCATTAGAAAATCTCCCTGGTCTTTGTGGTTGAAACTGTGTTTGAAATTCACTGCTCATCTGAGGGACCTTACAGATAATTGTATGTGTTGTATACAGAGATGAGTTACTCATTCAAAAATCATGTTAAACACTATTATTGCACACAGAGTGAGCCCAAGCAAATTTCTAAAAACATAATTCCACTTTGACATTCTGGGCTATTGTGTGTAGGCCAGTGGCACAAAATGTAAATTGAATCCATTTAAAATCCGGGCTCTAACACAACAAAATGTGGAAAAAGTCAAGGGGTGTGAATACTTTCTGAATGCATTGTATACATATTATGTTAATTACGCACATTACGCATTGTGGGAGTGGATACAATACAAAACATGGCTATACAAAAACACCTATAAGCATAATCAATAATCAGAGAGGTACATGTAGGCATCAAGGATTAAATTCATATATACAAATCGGGCCGGGTGCATGCAATTTATTATGGAACTTGTTGAGCACATTTTTACATCTGAACTTATTTTGGCTTGCCATAACATAAAGGGGTTGAATACTTATTGACTCAAGACATTTTAGCTTTTCATTTAACTAATTAGAAAACATTTTGAAAAACATAATTCCACTTTGACACTGAGGTATTGTGTGTAGGCACGTGAGCAAAAAACTCAATTGTATCCATTCTAAATCAAGCTAACACAACAAAATGTGGAAAAAGTCAAGGGGTGTGAATACTTTTTGAAGGCACTGTACATATTACTACTTGGAAATAACCTGTTTTTGCATGGACATTACCCCTATGGATTAAGGAAGGATCACATCCAGGTCATCAGCCAATGAATTATACTCGTGAGCAAACATTTCATAACTGCAGGTGGCAGGCAGTAAATAGCCAACCTTGGCTTTATACCTGTTCAAAAACACACTCCAGGTGGCAGTACGCAACTGTTCAGTTTGTTTACCAAGTCATAGAAGTAGTAGAAGAAAATAGATTACTTCAAAATGTAGATGGCCTCAATGGTGCTGCCCATGCCCTCACAGACGCCATAATGGGACAGATACAATTATGTGTTGTCTAAGTCTATGGTTCAAGGGTGAATAAAGTGTCCTTAGTTACAGTACCTTGTGATGTCACAGTTATTGTGCAAGGCTATATGTACTGTACTGAACGATGAACCACACCCTCTTAATCATTCACCAGGCTTATCTAGGCATGAGTAACAATATTTCAACGCTAATCCACTCTTTCTCTCTCACACTCACATGCTCCCTCTCTCTCTCACTCACATACTCTCTCTCTCTCTCTCCCACCCTCCCTCTCCTTAAAATGAAGGATTTACAGTAAAACAGCATGACCAACGTGCATAACACCACCATGTATTTTATATTATTTACTTAAAAACAACATATTAGCAAAATGTGACACTTACAAAATAGGCAACACAATTAGTTTACTAAATGGGTCAGTTTGGAAATTGAATTCCAAATGAATAATAAGAACATATGACAATGCTGTTGAATCCATAGAATTAGAAATTAGAATACTAGAATGGACATGAACCTTCTTATAATTGTCCAAAGGTCAGCCATGTTGGTCAGGGAGAGTTGGTCAACCATGGTTTGCCAGTGCTGTGATAAGATATTGTGTAAAACAATGAATGTGAAGAATGTATCTGCACTATATGTGTGTTAACTAGCTAGCCAGACAGTTTTAGAGGAATGATTCCAAATTAACTACCAATATGCCAAAATTCCATTCAAACAATGCAGTCAATCCACAGCCATACACTGGTTCAAATCTGTTGATGTTAGGACTTAGACAAGTTGTAAATGCAACAAGTACTGATATTGTATCATATAATAGCACTCACTGCTTTCCAAGTAAACTAAATCTGAGATATTTATGGGCTGTTTACATATATTTTAGATGCTTTACACATAAAATCGCTATAAAACCCATATATGTCCCGTGTAGCTCAGTTGGTAGAGCATGGCGCTTGCAACGCCAGGGTTGTGTGTTCGATTCCCACGGGGGATCAGTATGAAAAAAAATAAAAAATGCACTCACTAACTGTAAATCGCTCTGAATAAGAGCGTCTGCTAAATGACTAAAATGTCAAATGTAATATAAACTGTATTTATAATTATATGACAATATTTGAGGTTGACTATAATTACATTACACAATATCTGATACATCACATGCCTTACTTTTATTTTTCTGCATAAGTAAACTACTGCCAATTAGACTAGTTTTGGATTTCTCCCTGACCAAGATGGCTGCCATTTTCGTCCCATTATGGAACAAACTTTGAGGGTTTATGACTTAGCCCCTCTAGTAATGTAATAGGATCTCTATGGTTGAATCAATCAATCACATGTCGCTATGAATACTCACAGGCTGTCTGTCTGGTTCATACCCCTCCCTGTTCTCACACAGCCTCATGCTGAATACCACAGCATAACTGACTCACTGTCAGACACTGTCTCATCAACCCCATGGGCCATATCAGCACCTGTCTCTTCAGAACCTTCCATTCTAAAAAAAAATATCACCCAGAACCTTCTATTCTAAACAGAAGCACCCAGAGACTTATATTCTAAACCGAAGGATGCAGAACATTCTATTCTAAACAGAAGCACCTAGAACCTTCTGTTCTAGTCTAGTGTGACCAATCAAACATGGAAGCCCCAATGTAGTCTAATCAACACTCATATAGAATAGTGTGTAATGTTTGTACCCCATCCACCTAAATTCATAGGTTATTTAAAAATTCTAATCATCTAGTCAAATATTCATGTATTCTTCAAGGCACCTGTTTTTATAGCATCACATGAACAAACAGTTGATTCTACAATACTAAACTTCATGGGGATTTACCATAAGACAAATAAAAGAACATGACCAATGACAAAAGAAACAGAGAAAATCACATAATGTACACTATTTACACACAGCAAATTGGTCAGTGTTACCTAGTGATAATTTTTTTGTGGAACATTTCTAGTGTTGGTTCAGGATTTAAATGAACACTCAGTAGTGTAAAAGAACTCCAGTGTTGGTGATAATAACCAGATTTGAGTGTGATTACGTCATTTTATTCTGTGTAGAGTAAAACACTTAAAACCACGCCCATCATTATCATATTTCCCAGCAAGCTCTATTGCAGGTAATTTTTTTCAATATCTGTGTTTTTACATGTACATTGATTGATCAATTAATCTTATGCTACTCAAAGATAAATAACATTACTTTTTCTAAACTAACTCAATCTGTTAGTTAGATTTATTATACCTGTTACTGCAATGGTTGTTTCAGGTAGTCTCATCTATCAACTTTCCAAACCCTTACAGTCATTCTGAATGCAGGTGATCAAACATTTTAACGCTTGGATATCCACACTCTGGCTAGATTCCAATAGGAATGATATTACCTTGCAAGCCAGCATAATGTGAATGCAAGCTTGATGTGGCCTTTAAACCAGGAGTTCCAGGCCACTCTGTTAGTAAGACCTTGTGATATACGAAAATGTATTGTTTAATTTTAATTTGGTGAAGGTCACAGGACTGAAAATGAACGAATGCAACAACCATGTCTTTGTCACTAACAATTCACTCGAAAAGGCACACTGGGAAATATGCAAATAAGGCTTTACACTATACCCCAAATACGAGTTACCTTAACACTCCAGGTGTTCATTTCCTTACACTGAGAACGAGTAACAGCATCAGCTCTAATAAAATGTTAATTTCACTGAAAAGCGTGGACCTGTATAGACTCTGAAAAAGTGTTACATTTAACAATCTCAGAGTTGATTCAACACTGGAGAATTAGCTGTGCAAGTAAATACATAGTACTTTCCAGTGCAAAATGGCTCTAACCAACAAACAGTTAAAGCAATTCAGTGTGATTACTCTGAAAGATAGCATGGCAACCCTCTTTATAGATTCCTTAAATTCTTGGTAATTATCAGAAAAATAGTACACTTACAGTAAAAAAAAACATATTGCCTTACATTCTCTTGGTTCATTTCTTGTTACAGACCTCAGCTAATGTCTTGAACTTTGGCCCCAGTGTGTTTAGGAAGTCCAGGTTTTCCTGGTTGCCTTGGTCACTGCAGCAGCCCACCGAGCCGGCTGGAGACCCCACCCCCTCGAAGCCGTACGTGTGGATGATGTCATCGGCATATCGCCCCTCCTCCCCCGTCCCTAGGTAAGCCAACTTCTGTAAAGACCAGGTAGACAATGTAAGAGATGAGGTGAAGAAAGGAGAATGCATTTTGTTATTAGTCCATAGAGAGCAGCCAAGGACTAGTCCGATGGTAGGGAAGATATTACAGTAGGTGATATTACATCCTTACACAGGATATTACTGACAGGTATTACACTGAGAACAGACCAACATTTCACCAACCAGACAAGATATATGAAAGCTAACACAGGATTTTGCAAGTAAGCAAGCAAACAATTCACATGGGAATTGTCTAGGATTTTACCAATAGGAAGAACGATTGAGTTGTTTCTCGAGTTCCCTACAACCACTTTACCTGTTGTAAAAACAGGCCCGTTGGTTTGCCAGAAGTGCCAGGCTGCAGAGTTGTTGAATTTCATGAAACGGGTGTTGTCAAAAGTCATGTTTCCACCACCATATTGACCTCCACCACATTGTCCACTGCCATATTGTCCACCGTATTGGCTGCCTTCGTATTGGCCAGGGTAGCCATTCTCCATATTGGTCAATATGACGCCGCCAGACTGCTGTAGCAGGTTCTGTTGAGCACCCAGGCCTCCTCCAATCATACCCGAGTTCTTAGCTCCCACCCACCCTACGTCAATCATGGATCCCTTCACTGATGGATCGATCCCAGATGCAGGAACGATGATGAGATTTGAATCCTGAGGAGCCATATTTCAGAGAGAATTTAAGAAATATATTAGGATATTACAGTGAAATTTGCTCAGATTCCATGAACATGAGCAATGTGTTTCGTAATGCTGTCATTATGACAGACTTACCACTGCATCCCCTGGGGCCTCAATGTTAGACTTCAGGAGGATACCGCCGCTGTCGCCCATATCCTCCAGCTCCATTTTCTCATTCTTTGTAACACAGATGAATGCAAAGAGGATACCTGCAATAAAGAACCAAAAAGAAAAGTAGCTCAATAAAAATTCATGGTCAGAAAGTGGTCACAGGGTCATCTGACGAACAAGAAGCACAAGCCATTTGCTAAGGAATAAAGTTATACTAGCAGTCATCAGCTGCTTAAGACTTCACCATCTAATGTCTAATGCATCATACAGTTGTATATGTTGTCCTATCTTATTACTGCTTTGACACTAACCTGTCAGGCCTACATAAATAATATGAATGAACATAATAAACCATTAGAGACTCACAGAGTAGAAGTAGCAGGCCCAGTGCCAGCAGCATGGCCAGGATGGCCCACACACCCAGCGATGTGGAGTTCTGGTAGGCCAAACATGCTCCGTTCCTGCAGCGGCAGATCCGGACCGTTACAGTCTGGGTCTTTCCAAATCCCTGTAGGTCCTTGACCATCAGGGGGACAGTATTCACACCAGTAGGAAGCTCCTTGGTGTGCTCCAACATCACCGCAGTGTCTGAGGAGGAAATACACTGTTGTTAAGAACAGGAGTTTGGGCACTAGTTTTCCTGGTGAGATTACATTGTAAGGACTAAAACTCCTGGCTCTAAACAATGCTCATTGTCAGTTAGGTGCTGTGTAAGGTTGCATTCTAGAGTATTTTGCCTCTAAAGTTGTATTGAAAAATGTATGAGACTGACTACTCACTATAATATGCACATTTTACATTTATATTTAAATAACTGCTTCACTTTTTAAATCACATTTGGAGTCCATAGGTAGGAATAATTTTCATACTATTAAGTCGCTTCACAGCCCATCTCCCATCATGCTCCTCTCCCAGTTCAAAGCTGAAGGGGGCAGAGAATGGAGCTTGGTCCTTGTCCTCTGCTATCACCAGCACAGAGCCCATCTCTCCCCCATCCTTCTCACACATCACCAGGTCTTTAAAGGGGATGTCTGGGACGTGGTCATTCACATCCTCCACTTGAATAATCACTGTCCCTGTACCTGTCTTGAGACCTAAAAAGAGAGTAGACATACGTAAGAAACACAATAACATATCAATGAAATATTATTGCTGGTTTTATTGTGGTTTTATTGTGAGAGCTTGACTGAGTAAGATTTCCAATGTATTCATTAATCACACATGGCAATAAACTTGAAAGTTCAGTGAAATACAGATGCTATAGAGTACTGGTATCTCCCTAGTCACTCCCTGTTATAAATGCAAAACAGAGTAGCTAGGGTATGGCCCTCAATGTGTATGTGTTGATATGTAGGCTACGTGTGCCTTTAAAAAAATTTATGTAGTTCTGTCCTTGAGCTGTTCTTGTCTATTAATGTTCTGTATTATGTCATGTTTCATGTTTTGTATGGACCCCAGGGAGAGTAGCTGCTGCTTTCGCAACAGCTACACTACCGGTTAAAAGATTTAGAACACCTACTCATTCAAGGGTTTTTCTATATTTTTACTATTTTCTACATTGTAGACATCAAAACATTGAAATAACACATATGGAATCATGTAGTAACCAAAAAAGTGTTAAACAAATCAAAACATATTTGAGATTCTTCAAATAGCCACCATTTGCCTTGATTACAACTTTGCACACTCTTGGCATTCTCTCAACCAGCTTCATTACATAGTCACCTGGAATGCATTTCAATTAACAGGTGTGCTTTCTTAAAAGTTAATTTGTGGAATTTCTTTCCTTCTTAATGCATTTGAGCCAATCAGTTGTGTTGTGACAAGGTAGGGGTGGTAAACAGAAGATAGCCCTATTTGGTAAAAGACCACGTCCATATTATGGCAAGAACAGCTCAAATAAGCAAAGAGAAACGACAGTCCATCATTACTTTAAGACATGAAGGTCAGTCAATACAGAACATTTCAAGAACTTTGAAAGTTTCTTCAAGTGCAGTCGCAAAAACCATCAAGAGCCATGATGAAACTGGCTCTCATGAGGACAGCCACAGGAATGGAAGACCCAGAGTTACCTCTGCTGCAGAGGATAAGTTCATTAGAGTTACCAGCCTCAGAAATTGCAGCCCAAGTAAATGCTTCACTGAGTTCAAGTAACAGACACATCTCAACATCAACTGTTCAGAGGAGACTGTGTGAATCAGGCCTTCACGGTCAAATTACTGCAAAGAAACCACTACTAAAAGGACACCAATAAGAAGAAGAGACTTGCTTGAGCCAATAAACATTAGACCAGTGGAAATGTGTCCTTTGGTCTGGAGTCCAAACTGGAGACTTTTGGTTCCAACCGCCGTGTCTTTGTGAGACGCGGTGTGGGTGAATGGATTATCTCCGCATGTGTATTTCCCACCGTAAAGCATGGAGGAGGTGGTGTGATGGTGCTTTGCTGGTGACACAGTCAGTGATTTATTTAGAATTCAAGGCACACTTAACCAGCATGGCTACCACAGCAATCTGCAGCGATACGCCAACCCATCTGGTTTGGGCTTAGTGGGACTATCGTTTGTTTTTCAACAGAACAATGACCCAACACACCTCCAGGCTGTGTAAGGGCTATTTTACCAAGATGGAGAGTGATGGAGTGCTGCATCAGATGACCTGGCTTCTACAATCCCCCGACCTCAACCAAATTGAGATGGTTTGGGATGAGTTGAACTGGAGAATGAAGGAAAAGCAGCCAACAAGTGTTCAGCATATGTGGGAACTCCTTCAAGACTGTTGGAAAAGCATTCCAGGTGAAGCTGGTTGAGAGAATGCCAAGAGTGTGCAAAACTGTCTTCAAGGCAAAGGGTGGCTTTTTGAAGAATCTCAAATATAAAATATATTTTGATTTGTTTAACACTTTTTTGGTTACTACATGATTCCATATGTGTTATTTCATAGTTGATGTCTTCACTATTATTCTATAATGTAGAAAATAGTAAAAATAAAGAAAAACCCTTGAATGAGTAGGTATTCTAAAACTTTTGACCGGTAGTGTATTGGGGATCCTAATAAAATACCAAATCACACCAGGTGTTATAGAGTGACTACTATACTCCTCATCTTGTCACTTAAACAACACATAGACTTATTGTGTTGTGTGAACATGAAAGGAACTTTGACGGGGTTGGAAGGGTGGTTGACGCCAATACGAGAATGTGTTAGGTATTTGGTAACATCAGCTAAGGCGTAAAGACAACAACCTCTCATTGTCTGTGCAATGTCAGTCAAAGGATGCCTTGAGGAGATGGCACAGGGCACAGTGGTGTTGTTAGCTATAATTATGATGCTCAGTCTCTTCCTTGTTTTAGACTGTTGATCCTTTTTACAGTGATAGAAACAGTGGGAGGAAGCAAAAATGCTTAGCATGCTATTAGCTGGAAGGCAATAATGAGGGCCCAGGGTTTTTCCTAGCAATAGATGAGTTATGATCATCCTAATAGTGGTGTATATCTGACTATACAGATACAGATACACTACATGACCAAAAGTATGTGGACACCTGCTAGTCGAACATCTCATTCCAAAATCATGGCCATTAATAGAGTTGGTCCCCCCTTTGCTGCTATACCAGCCTCCACTCTTCTTGGAAGGCTTTCCACTAGATGTTGGAACATTGCTGCGGGGACTTGCTTCCATTCAGCCACAAGAGCATTAGTGAGGTCGGGCACTGATGGTGGGAGACTAAGCCTGACTCGCAGTCGGCGTTCCAATTCATCCCAAAGGTGTTCAATGGAGTTGAGGTCAGGGCTCTGTGCAGGCCAGTCAAGTTCTTCCACACCGATCTCGACAAACCATTTCTGTATGGACCTCGCTGTGTGCACGGAGCCCTGAAACAGGAAAGGGCCTTCCCCAAACTGTTGCCACAAAGTTGGAAGCACAGAATCGTCTAGAATGTAATTGTATGCTCTAGCCTTAAGATTTCCCTTCACTGGAACTAAGGGGCCTGGCCCAAACCATGGAAAAGAGGCCCAGACCATTACTCCTCCTCCACCAAATGTTACAGTTGGCAATATGCATTGGGGCAGGTAGCGTTCTCCTGGCATCCGCCAAACCCAGATTCATCCGTCGGACTGCCAGATGGTGAAGCGTGATTCATCACTCCAGAGAACGCGTTTCCACTGCTCCAGAGTCTAATGGCGGCGAGTTTTACACCACTGGTGATCTTAGGCTTGTGTGCGGCTGCTCGGCCATAGAAACCCCATTTCATGAAGCTCCCGACAAACAGTTATTGTGCTGACGTTGCTTCCAGAGGCAGTTTGGAACTCAGTAGTGAGTGTTGCAACCGAGGACAGACGATTTTTAAGTGCTACGCTCTTCAGCACTCGGCGGTCCCATTTTGTGAGCTTGTGTGGCCTACCACTTTGCGGCTGAGCCATTGTTGCTCCTAGATGTTTCCACTTCAAAATAACAGCACTTACAGTTGACCGGGGCAGCTCTAGCAGGGCAGAAATTTGACGAACTGGCTTGTTTGAAGGGTGGCATCCTATGACAGTGCCATGTTGAAAGTCACTGTGCTCTTCAGTAAGGCCATTCTACTGCCAATGTTTGTCTATGGAGATTGCACGACTGTGTGCTCGATTGTATACACCTGTAAGCAACGGGTGTGGCTGAAATAGCCAAATCCACTAATTTGAAGGGGTGTCCACATACTTTTGTATATATAGTGTATTTAACTAAGACACTGTAACAATATCTACTTACTGGCATCAATAGCTTTCATACTGACGTTGTACACGCCATTCGTTACAAAGTGGGACTCCCTGTCGATAGTGTTGGCGATCTTCAGCTGTCCGGTGCTTTCATCTACCTTGATCCATGAAGCAGGGTCCGAGACCTTGTAATACCTGAGAGGGATCAGAGAGAGAGAAGACACTTTTACAGCATTCTCTTGCATAATGATACAATTCTGCTGGATAGAGAAAAAACATTGCATTCCGTTTTTCACAATACATCTAACTTCTTTTGAAATGCAATCTGACCTTACTTGTTATAACATCATATTATTATTATGATTATTATCAACATGGTCACACAATAGGCCAATACTACCCTGGTTCCAGATCTGTTTGTGCCGTCTTGCCATCTCCTGTGGTTATGGCAAGACAGTACAAACAGATCTGGGACCTGTCTAGGTCAATTATTGGTGGGATCAATAAGGTAAACTAGGTTCTTACTTGATGCCGGCACTGCTCTTGGTCTCTGGGTCTACGGCTATGTAGGTCCCAATCAGGGTGTCATTAGGAGTGTTCTCCTGGACAGTGAAGAGTACGGTGGGGGCGGTGAACTCTGGTCCCTCGTCTTCGTCCACTACAGAGATGTCTACAGGGATGGACACCCACTGGGCCTTGGTCCCACTCAACTCAGCCTGGTTACGGGCCAACACCTCCAGCTTTAAGTTCTTGGTCTTCTCGTAGTCTAGAGGCTGAAGACACAGCAAGGACATGGAGTGTTATTTTACTGTATTATTATTGCTCGATCAGCCTTCAATGACAATGCGTAAAGAAGCCTTTTGGCTCAATATTTTGACTGTCTTTAGTTCATTTTATAAATAACTAGCAAGACATCTATGGATCCTGAAAGTCATGATCAGATCAAAAATAGAGGTTCATTGTGAGTGCCAGCTCACCTTTGTTAGATAAATGAGTCCTTCATTTGTTTTGGGGTCTCTTTCGATCCTGAAGTTCCCGTTTTCATTCCCCTTTTTGATGACAAACTCAGTGTTCCAGTTTGGTGTCTTCACCAAGTCCTTATCTTCAATGGGGATTCTGAGGAGGAGTCCCTCTACTTGGTTCTCTTTAACTTTTACATCGTACTGCAAGAGAAAGTAACATGTCGTTATTTGACCAAAGTAAACAGAGTATTCATAAAACAAACTGGGACATCCATGCCTTTTTTGTTACATTAGCGGAATAAACTGCAATACACAAACTCCACTATTGTAAGAAGTTGTCAAAGAAAACGTACAGATGTCTTTGTGAATGTGGGAGGGTTGTCGTTGATATCCCCCAACACAATGGTGGCTGGGGAAGTGTTGACTAGACCATTCAGAGCTCCATTCATGTCTTTGATTTCCACTGTCACAAAATATTTCTCATTCACCTGCAAAACAAATACAAACATACATTTAGATCAATAATTCAAACAATGATAGTCGTGCTCAACAATGTGGAAACCTGGAAAACAGTAAGTGAGATATTTTTTTGAAAAGGTACAACGATGGGACTGACCTCTCTGTCGAGGGTGTCTGTTTTGGTGCTGATGACTCCTGTCTCTGGGTTGATGTAGAACAGGTCGGTCCCAGAGAGGAGGGAGTACCTGATCTTAGTGTGGTCGGTACCACGCTCGTCTATGTCTGTGGCATTCACCATCCCCACCATCGTCCCTGCAATAGAACACGTCACAACACACAGGTTATTAGTTCACATCCACAAGTTCCTGTTACAAAGGTCCATATCTGGATTTGACACACTTTTCCCATGTACTGTATTACAGAGGCTAAAGGCACTCTGGTATTTCTTACTTCAGCTGTGTGTTTCTCACCTGCTTTGCTTTGCTCCAGCACATGAAACTGCATTAGGCCAGTGAAAGTTGGCGCATTGTCATTCACATCCACTACATTCACTGTGATGGGTAATGGTAGATCTGTCTCCTGGTTGGTGTATCTGTCAAACACTCTTGCTTGAAACTGGAGGAAGATGGACTCAGTTTAGTAATGTCTTACACTGTTTGTATTGTCTGTGCTACGCATCAAGAGTACAAATGTCATGTTTTAACATCACAGATAAAGAATTGATCAATTATTCAAGCAAGCAATCAATAATTGTTGTCTACTACTCACTACAAACTGAGGGGTTCTCTCGCGGTCGACAGCTTTGTTGACCTGCAACATCCCAGTGTCCATCACCACACTGAACACACCCACAGGCTCCTCTGTCACACCAGGCCCACTGATGGTGTAGTACACTCTGCGAGTGGCCGACGAATCAGATGCAATCTGGACCAGGAAACAATCAAGTATTATCTGCCGTCAAGCTTCAACAAGCAACTTGACGATGACTTGTGGGCAGTGGGTTACGAACAACAACAAAAAATGAATACACACAACAAAAAAGTGGAAATTATACCCCCACCCAAAAGGACTCTTTAGAGACTAGAAGGACAAAGGGGCATGTGCTCTGCGCAGGTAGAGCCCTATCTGTGCACGTGCCTGCTCTGGTTAAGAAATTGCACAGTTAAGAATGTTAAGCATTGAGTTTTGCAAAACAGAAATGCTCATCCATGCCTTACAGGTAATAGGCCTAAAGCATTATACTTGTCGACTACTGTTACAAAAAGTTATTTTGTATTAATATGTATTCCCTAGGCAGGTTACAACATATGTACAGTGCACATCCAGCCTTGTAGTTAGAAAGGAAGGGGAAAAAACAACAAAGTAAACGTTTCCACTGATCCCTCTGTATGTGTGTGGTTGGGTGTGTCTGGGTGTGTGAACCCCATGTAAGGGCATGGAGCATACAGGTACATAATGTGTATTAGCCGCAAGTGAGGAAGAATGAGAAATAGAGTGGAACACGGGGTGGGAGAAAGGCAAGGACAGGTAGAGGATCATTTGGGGTTTGTTACGTGACATGAAATATGGACATGGCTTAGGTTTGATATCAATATTCAAATAGACAGAATGTGCTGAAATGGGATGCAAGTTGTAACTTATTTTAAGGACATTACCAGCTCAACGTCCTTTGGAAATGGCGGTGCGTCATTTTCTATGATGTTGAAGGGCAGAGGACTCCAACGTCTTTTGGAGCGCTTTAGTAGGCCATCTTTCAATACCTGAAAATGCAGAAAAAAAGAGCACAAAGTCACAAGTCAACAATGTGATATAGATAATTTCACAACAACATAATACTTCTTTGAAAAATTGGACTTTGTACTGTAAACCCATGCAGAATCCACCTTACCTTTCTAGAGTTCTGGACAAGGTAAACATCCATTTCTCTCTTCTGACCATCGAGGTCCTGAAACTGCACTGAGAATGTCCTGCCATTGGCTGGTACCATGGTGATGGCGACGGTTACTATAGTGCCATCAGGTCGTACTGTGAAGTCGGGGTCACTAGTTGTAAAGTGCAATGTGATGGTGTCACATTGGTCCACATCAACTGAACAATGAGAGAGAAAGAAATGTTATCAACTATCCAATGAATAAAAACCACCTGGATCATCCAAAGCAAGATTTACAGTTTATGACTATATTGATTGTTTCATTCAGTATCAAGAACATACAAAGTCAGACAGGACTGAAACATTTGTGAATGGCAGGACCTTTTGAAATAACATGTCCAACTTGTACTGTCTGAGGTACTGTTGCTTGTATGGAGACAGGGATAAAGCAGGAGTCCACACATGAGATGACCTGGAGTTGACACATGCAAGAGAGATATTGTTCATACATTCTAACAGGTGGCATATCATACAATAGATGTTACAAATATGGTACTGCATTCATGGACATTCTGTCTTGTCAGTTCTTTGTACTATATGAACCAAAAGAATAAACTATATTAAATGTGTACAAGGATCACATAATAAGTTGCATGGACTCACTGTGTGCAATAATAGTGGGGCGGCAGGTAGCTTAGTGGTTAAGAGCGTTGTGCCAGTAACTGAAAGGTCGCTGGTTCTAATCCCCGAGCCGACTAGGTGAAAAATCTGTCGATGTGCCCTTGAGCAAGGCACTTAACCCTAATTGCTCATGTAAGTCGCTCTGGATAAGAGCGTCTGCTAAATGACTAAAATGTAAAATGTAGTGTTTAACATGGTTTTTGAATGACTACCTCATCTCTGTACCCCACACACACACAATTGTCTGTAAGGTCTCTCAGTCGCACAGTGAATTTCAAACACAGATTCAACCACAGAGACCAGGGAGGTTTTCCAATGCCTCGCAAAGAAGGGCACCTATTGGTACATGGGTAAAGAAGAAGCAGACATTGAATACCCCTTTGAGCATGGTGAAGTTATGAATTACACTTTGGATGGTGTATCAATACACCCAGTCACTACAAAGACACAGGCATCCTGCCTAACTCAGTTCCCGGAGAGGAAGGAAACCGCTCAGGGATTTCACCATGAGGTCAATGGTGTCTTTAAAACAGTTACAGAGTTTAATGGCTGTGATAAGAGAAAACTGAGGATGGAACAATATTGTACTGTAGTTACTCCACAATACTAACCGAAATGAAAGAGTCAAAAGAAGGAAGCCTGTATAGAATAAAAAATATTCCAAAACATGCATCCTGTTTGCAATTAGGCACTACAGTAAAACTGCAAAAAAGGTGGAATGCAAAGCATTATGTTTGGGGTAAATCCAACACAACATCACTGAGTACCACTTCCTATTTTTCAAGCATGGTGGTGGCTGCATCTTGTTATGGGTATGCTTACCATCGGCAAGGACTACAGAGATTTTTGGATAAAAATAAACTGAATTGAGCTAAGCACAGGCAAAATCCTAGAGGAAAACCTGGTTCAGTCTGCTTTCCAACAGACACTAGGAGACAAATTCACCTTCAGCAGGACAATAACCTAAAACAAGGTCAAATATACACTGGAGTTGCTTATCCTGACAACACTGAATGTTCCTGGAGTGGCCTAGTTACAGTTTTGAGTGAAATCGGCTTGAAAATCTATGGCAAGACTGTCTCGCAATGATCAACAACCAACTTGACAGAGATTGAATATTTTTTAAAAGAATAATAGGCAGATATTGTACAATCCAGGTGTGCAAAGCTCTTAGAGATTTACCCAGAAAGACTCACTGCTGTAATCACTACTAAAGGTGATTCTAATATGGGCTGTGAATACTTATGTAAATTCCATATTTCAGTATTCAATTTCAAATAAATGTGCATACATTTCTAAAAACATGTTTTCACTTTGACATTATGGGGTATTGTGTGTAGATGGGTGAGATTAAAAAATATATTTAATCCATTTTGAATGCAGGCTGTAACACAAAATGTGGAATAAGTCAAGGGGTATGAATACTTCCTGAAGGCACTGTAGATATATCAACAAGCTGCACCTTGACAGTGATCTTTTTAGCTGAATGTTAGAACACTGCATAGCAGCGGGAAGTAGGGGTTCTGCAGCACCCCCTGAAAAATCGCAATAAAAAAATATATGTAAAAACAGGCCTATATACACTATATATGCAAACGTATGTGGACACCCCTTCAAATTAGTGGATTCGGCTATTTCAGCCTCAACCGTTGCTGACAGGTGTATAAAATCAAGCACACATACATGCAATCTCCATAGACAAACGTTGGCAGTAGAATGGCCTTACTGAAGAGCTCAGTGACTTTCAACGTGGCACCATCATAGGATGCCACCTTTCCAACAAGTATGTTCGTCAAATTTCTGCCCTGCTAGAGCTGCCCTGGTCAACTGTACGTGTTGTTGTTGTTGTGAAGTGGAAACGTCTAGGAGCAACAACTCGAAGTGGTAGGCCACACAAGCTCACAGAACGGGACGGCCAAGTGCTAAAGCGCTGAATGGTCTGTCCTCGGTTACAACACACACTACCGAGTTCCAAATTGCCTCTGGAAGCAACGTCAGCACAAGAACTGTTCGTTGAGAGCTTCATGAAATGGGTTTCCATGGCCGAGCAGACACACAAGCATAAGATCACCATGGGCAATGCCAAGCATCCGCTGGAGTGGTGTAAAGCTCGCCGCCATTGGACACTGGAAACGCATTCTCTGGAGTGAGGAATCATGCTTCACCATCTGGCAGTCCGACGATCAAATCTGGGTTTGGCGGATGCCAGGAGAACGCTACCTGCCCGAATGCATAGTGCCATCTGTTATAGGGAGCATATTATAGCAGCAAAGTGGGGACCAACTCCTTATTAATGGCCATGATTTTGGAATGAGATGTTCGACGAGCAGGTGTCCACATACTTTTATCTTTTTGGTTTGTTTGTTGTTGTTTTTAGTTTTTTTATTGCAGATAAATTGTAACTTCCACATACTTTGTCATGTAGTGTATATATTTTTTATTTATTTTTCTCACAAATGTTATGCACTGGGCCTTTAGTAGTCCTGTATTACGGACCGATATAAATCGCAGCACACAACCCCAAACATCTTCCCCCGGCTTTGCAACACTGTAAAGTAAAAGTTAGGCTACAAAGTTTGCAAATTAATTTACATTAATAGAATCTAGGGCAGGTGACATATCAAAATCAAATGTGAATAATACAGAAACACTTTAATTTAATAGAATTGACTACTTACCAAAAATATGCATAAATGTACAGGTAAATTTGGTGCCATTTTTGTTGCCGCAATTCGAAACACTGTATTCGACTAGACACGATTCCACATGCAATTACTAAAAATTGTTCTGTCAAGGGTGGGATTAAAGATGGTTGATATTCTTGACACCAATCAATTACAGTACCCTAATTTTGTACATATGGCGACTGGTATTGCCGATAGAGGAATGACTGTTTCGTTTATGTTCTAGTATCACCGTAGAAATGTAGGCATGCTACCACGCCCGCAATTACTCACTAACCTATTAGATCGAAGTCACGCCCAGCCTGCTGGTAGGGGAAAACAACCTGTCGTTACCTAGGTTATTCCATTAGCTCACAGCAAAAACGTCACCTTTTTCAAACGCAATTTTCTTGTTGTCTGCTTGTTTTAGTCAATTACAAAACTACATTTAAGAAAAGTACAACATGTCTAATGATAACTTTTCAACATTGCCTGCTCCCTAGCGTTCTCACTACTTAGAAAAACCCTCATGCCCTTTTTCATGATGGTGCTAGCTTGCCGACCTGAACATTAAGCTAGCCAAGACCAACAACATAAACAAACGGACTACACAGTAGTGAGTGGAGTTATAAACTGACTATACTAAACAAGTTAAATGTCCCCACATTTCCCACTCCCTTTACGAAAAAAGATTGCAGTTAAACTGCAGTACACTGCAGTTATTCAGCAATTACTACCTCCAAAATACCACAGTCAACTGCAGTTTCAAAACTGCAATCTTTTTTGTAAGGGTCCAAATAGCCTGAAGCCAGATGGCTCTTCTCGCAGCCTCTTTTTCCCTACCTGGGAGCATTGTAAACCGTAGATCGGGATTTTTGACCTGGTTACATGTACATTGAACAAAACATCAGCATGTTTTGATATTTCTGTATAACAAAAAAATAGACAACAAAGTTGGCTGCTTTTCCTTCACTCTGCTGTCCGACTCATCCCAAACCATCCCAAACCTCTCATCCAGCTCTGTCGCACCGCCGCACCGATCTCGGGCGGCGCACAATTGCTCATCCCAAGGGGAGGATGCCGCAGGATGTACTCAATGAGCTGGGTTGCAACGCAGGTGTGGGTTCGATTCGGGGCCAGATAAAAAAAAAAACATGTATCACTAACTGTAGAGCAAGAGCGTCTGCTAATCTGACGGGATTGTGGAGGCCAGGTCAACTGATGCAGCACGCCATCACTCTCCTTCTTGGGAAAATAGCCCTTACACAGCCTGAGGTGTTGTGTTGGTTCATTGTCATGGTTGAAAAACAAAAATGATTGTCCCACTAAGGCCCAAACCAGAGATGTTGGCGTATCGCTGCAGATGCTGTGGTAGCCCATGCTGGTTTGTGTGCCTTGAATTCTAAATCACAGACAGTTTCACCAGCAAAGCATGTACTCCTGAGTGGCGCAGTGGTCTAAGAAAGCAGTGCTAACATGTGCTACTAGAGATCTGGTTCGAATCCAGGCTCTGTCGCAGCCGGCCGCGACCGGGAGACTCATGGGCGGCGCACAATTGGCCCAGCGTCGTCCAGGGTAGGGGAGGGAATGGCCGGCAGGGATTGTAGCTCAGTTGATAGAGCATGGCGTTTGCAACGCCAGGGTTGTGGGTTTGATTCCCATGGGGGGCCAGTATAAAAAAAATATATATATATATGTATTCGCTAACTGTGAGTCGCTCTGGATAAGAGCGTCTGCTAAATGACGTAAATGTAAATAACACCTCCTCGTCCATGCTTTATGGTGGGAAATACACATGTGGAGATCATCTCACAAAGACACAGCGGTTGGAACCAAAAATCTCCAATTTGGACTCCAGACCAAAGGACTTATTTCCACCGTTCTAATGTCCATTGCTCTTATTATTATCGGTGTCCCTTAGTAGTGGTTGCAGCAATTCGACCATGAAGGCCTGATTCACACAGTCACCTCTGAACAGTTGATGTTGAGATGTGTCTGTTACTTGAACTCTGTGAAGCATTTATTTGGGCTGAAATTTCAAAGGCAACTCTGGGTCTTCCATTCCTGTGGCTGTCCTCATGAGAGCCAGTTTCATCATGGCTCTTGATGGTTTTTGCGACTGCACTTGAAGAAACTTTCAAAGTTCTTGAAATGTTCTGTATTGACTGACCTTCATGTCTTAAAGTAATGATGGACTGTCGTTTCTCTTTGCTTATTTGAGCTGTTCTTGCCATAATTGACGTGGTCTTTTACCAAATAGGGCTATCTTCTGTTTACCACCCCTACCTTGTCACAACACAACTGATTGGCTCAAATGCATTAAGAAGGAAAGAAATTCCACAAATTAACTTTTAAGAAAGCACACCTGTTAATTGAAATGCATTCCAGGTGACTATGTAATGAAGCTGGTTGAGAGAATGCCAAGAGTGTGCAAAGTTGTAATCAAGGCAAATGGTGGCTATTTGAAGAATCTCAAATATGTTTTGATTTGTTTAACACTTTTTTGGTTACTACATGATTCCATATGTGTTATTTCAATGTTTTGATGTCTACAATGTAGAAAATAGTAAAAATATAGAAAAACCCTTGAATGAGTAGGTGTTCTAAATCTTTTAACCGGTAGTGTAGCTGTTGCGAAAGCAGCAGCTACTCTCCCTGGGGTCCATACAAAACATGAAACATGACATAATACAGAACATTAATAGACAAGAACAGCTCAAGGACAGAACTACATACATTTTTAAAAAGGCACACGTAGCCTACATATCAACACATACACATTGAGGGCCATACCCTAGCTACTCTGTTTTGCATTTATAACAGGGAGTGACTAGGGAGATACCAGTACTCTATAGCATCTGTATTTCACTGAACTTTCAAGTTTATTGCCATGTGTGATTAATGAATACATTGGAAATCTTACTCAGTCAAGCTCTCACAATAAAACCACAATAAAACCAGCAATAATATTTCATTGATATGTTATTGTGTTTCTTACGTATGTCTACTCTCTTTTTAGGTCTCAAGACAGGTACAGGGACAGTGATTATTCAAGTGGAGGATGTGAATGACCACGTCCCAGACATCCCCTTTAAAGACCTGGTGATGTGTGAGAAGGATGGGGGAGAGATGGGCTCTGTGCTGGTGATAGCAGAGGACAAGGACCAAGCTCCATTCTCTGCCCCCTTCAGCTTTGAACTGGGAGAGGAGCATGATGGGAGATGGGCTGTGAAGCGACTTAATAGTATGAAAATTATTCCTACCTATGGACTCCATTCCATCTCTGTATTAATTGATATCTTGCAAATGTGATTTAAAAAGTGAAGCAGTTATTTAAATATAAATGTAAAATGTGCATATTATAGTGAGTAGTCAGTCTCATACATTTTTCAATACAACTTTAGAGGCAAAATACTCTAGAATGCAACCTTACACAGCACCTAACTGACAATGAGCATTGTTTAGAGCCAGGAGTTTTAGTCCTTACAATGTAATCTCACCAGGAAAACTAGTGCCCAAACTCCTGTTCTTAACAACAGTGTATTTCCTCCTCAGACACTGCGGTGATGTTGGAGCACACCAAGGAGCTTCCTACTGGTGTGTATACTGTCCCCCTGATGGTCAAGGACCTACAGGGATTTGGAAAGACCCAGACTGTAACGGTCCGGATCTGCCGCTGCAGGAACGGAGCATGTTTGGCCTACCAGAACTCCACATCGCTGGGTGTGTGGGCCATCCTGGCCATGCTGCTGGCACTGGGCCTGCTACTTCTACTCTGTGAGTCTCTAATGGTTTATTATGTTCATTCATATTATTTATGTAGGCCTGACAGGTTAGTGTCAAAGCAGTAATAAGATAGGACAACATATACAACTGTATGATGCATTAGACATTAGATGGTGAAGTCTTAAGCAGCTGATGACTGCTAGTATAACTTTATTCCTTAGCAAATGGCTTGTGCTTCTTATTCGTCAGATGACCCTGTGACCACTTTCTGACCATTAATTTTTATTGAGCTACTTTTCTTTTTGGTTCTTTATTGCAGGTATCCTCTTTGCATTCATCTGTGTTACAAAGAATGAGAAAATGGAGCTGGAGGATATGGGCGACAGCGGCGGTATCCTCCTGAAGTCTAACATTGAGGCCCCAGGGGATGCAGTGGTAAGTCTGTCATAATGACAGCATTACGAAACACATTGCTCATGTTCATGGAATCTGAGCAAATTTCACTGTAATATCCTAATATATTTCTTAAATTCTCTCTGAAATATGGCTCCTCAGGATTCAAATCTCATCATCGTTCCTGCATCTGGGATCGATCCATCAGTGAAGGGATCCATGATTGACGTAGGGTGGGTGGGAGCTAAGAACTCGGGTATGACTTTTGTCTAGTACTGTATATATATAAATTATATATATATATATATATATATATATATATATATATATATATATATATATATATATATATATATATATATATAACTTTTTCTAAATCACATTGATGTCATAAAGTGTTTTTTGTGAGATTTATAGGCGCTTTACACGGGGGTTCCCTTTACCACAAGTTTTACCACCCTCTGGTCTGTACAATATAAAATATACAAGAGTGATTGATGCTTTATTCGCAGGTGATCATAAACTGCTCAAACCCTGTGGTTTGGTGTGATGCATGCATGCTAAGTAAATTGTGTTTCATTGTAACATGAGAAAACACTGTGAAGAAATGTTACCGACGGGGAAACTTATCGGTAAAGGGTCATTGTCTGAAATGGAATGCCCCTTAGCGCTTGTTCTCAACTATCATCTGTCCCACCATGCAATGTATTTACACTGCCTTGCAAAAGTATCCAATCCCCTTGGATTTCTTCATATTTTATTATGTTACGAAGTGGGATTAAAATGGATTTAATTGTCTTTTTTTTGTTAACAATCGTTGTTGCATTAGTACTCAGCTCCCTGAGTCAATACATATTAGGATCACCTTTGGCATCAATTACAGCTGTGAGTCTTCTTGGGTACGTCTCTAAGAGCTTTGCACACCTGGATTGTGCAATATTTGCCCATTATTATTTTCAAAAGTCTTCAAGCTCTGTCAAGACGTTGGGGATCATGGCTTTACAGTAATTTTCAAAACTTGCCATAGATTTTCAAGCAGATTTAAGTTAAAATTGTAACTTGGCCACTCAGGAACTTTCACTGTCTTCTTGGTAAGCAACTCCAGTGTAGATTTGGCCTTGTGTTGTAGATTATTGTCCTGCTGAAAGGGGATTTCTTCTCCCAGACTGAAGCAGGTTTTCCTATAGGATTTTGCCTGTTCTTAGCTCCATCCAGTTTCGTCGTATCCTGAAAAACTCAGATGTCAAGCATAACCATACCATGATGCAGCCACCACCATGCTTGAAAATAAGGAGGCAGTTACTCAGTGAGGTGTTATGTTGGATTTGCCCCAAACATAAGGCTTTGCATTGATGCAAAAAAGTATATTCCTTTGCTGTGTTTTTTTTCCCTCCTCAGTATTAACTTAGTGCCTTGTTCTATCTATCTGTTCTCGATCTATTGGAATATTTGTGTTCTGTATATTTGTATTCTTCTATTCACATTTCATTTACAGTCGTGGTTAAAAGTTTTGAGAATGACACAAATATAAATTCTGCTGCCTCAGTTTTTATGATGGCAATTTGCATATACTACAGAATGTTATGAAGAGTGATCAGATGAATTGCAATTAATTGCAAAGTCCCTCTTTGCCATGAAAATGAACTTAATCCCCCAAAAACATTTCCACTGCATTTCAGCCCTGCCACAAAAGGACCAGCTGACATCATGTCAGTGATTCTCTCATTAACACAGGTGAGAGTGTTGACGAGGACAAGGCTGGAGATCACTCTGTCATGCTGATTGAGTTAGAATAACAGACTGGAAGCTTTAAAAGGAGGGTGATTGCTAGTAAGATTGCACCTAAATCAACCATTTATCGGATCATCAAGAACTTCAAGGAGAGAGGTTCAGTTGTTGTGAAGAAGGCTTCAGGGCGCCCAAGAAAGTCCAGCAAGCGCCAGGACCGTCTCCTAAAGTTGATTCAGCTGCCGGATCGGGGCACCACCAGTGCAGAGCTTGCTCAGGAATGGCAGCAGGCAGGTGTGAGTGCATCTGCACGCACAGTGAGGCAAATACTTTTGGAGGATGGCCTGGTGTCAAGAAGGGCAGCGAGGAAGCCACTTCTCTCCAGGAAAAACATCAGGGACAGACTGATATTCTGCAAAAGGTACAGGGATTGGACTGCTGAGGACTGGGGTAAAGTCATTTTCTCTGATGAATCCCCTTTCCGATTGTTTGGGGCATCCGGAAAAAAGCTTGTCTGGAGAAGACAAGGTGAGCGCTACCATCAGTCCTGTGTCATGCCAACAGTAAAGCATCCTGAGACCATTAATGTGTGGGGTTGCTTCTCAGCCAAGGGAGTGGGCTCACTCATAATTTTGCCTAAGAACACAGCCATGAATAAAGAATGGTACCAACACATCCTCCGAGAGCAACTTCTCCCAACCATCCAAGAACAGTTTGGTGACGAACAATGCCTTCTCCAGCATGATGGAGCACCTTGCCATAAAGCAAAAGTGATAACTAAGTGGCTCGGGGAACAAAACATCAACATTTTGGGTCCATGGCCAGGAAACTCCCCAGACTTTAATCCCATTGAGAACTTGTGGTCAAGAGGCGGATGGACAAACAAAACCCCACAAATTCTGACAAACTCCAAGCATTGATTATGCAAGAATGGGCTGCCATCAGTCAGGATGTGGCCCAGAAGTTAATTGACAGCATGCCAGGGCGGATTGCAGAGGTCTTGAAAAAGAAGGGTCAACACTGCAAATATTGATTCTTTGCATAAACTTAATGTAATTGTCAATAAAAGCCTTTGCCACTTATGGAATGCTTATAATTATACTTCAGTATACCATAGTAACATCTGACAAAAATATCTAAAAACACTGAAGCAGTAAACTTTGTGAAGACCAATACGTTTTACATTTTAGTCATTTAGCAGACGCTCTTATCCAGTGAGTGCATACAAAATCCTATGGCCCCCCGTGGGAAACGAACCCACAACCCTGGCGTTGCAAGCGCCATGCTCTACCAACTGAGCTACACTGTAGATCATTATTGTGAGTAACTACAATGTTGTTGATCCATCCTCAGTTTTATACCTTTACAGTCATTGAACTTTGTAGCTGTTTTAAAATCACCAATGGCTTCATGGTAACATCCCTGAGCAGTTTCATTCCTGTCCTGCAGTTCAGTTCAGAAGGATGACTGTATCTTTGATGTGTCTGGGTGGTTTAATACATAATACACAGCATAAATATTAACTTGACCTGCTTGAAGAGATATTCAATGTCTCATTTGTTATTGTTACCCATCTACCAATCACTGCCCTTCTTTATAAGTCTTTCGAAAAGTTCCCCTGGTCTTTGTAGTTGAATTTGTTCTTGAAATTCAATACTTGATTGAGGGACCTTACAGATACACAAGATGTATGGGGGACAGAGGAAGGGTTGGTCATTCAAAAATCATGTCAACCCCTATTATTTCACACAGAGTGAGCCCATGTAACTTATTGCGTGATTTGTTAAGCCACATTTTACTTCTGAACTAATATTATATTTGATAGATTGTAAAATTACTGTTTTATGTCTTTACTCTTTTATATAATTATATCCTCCTAGTATTAATAGATTGTTTTTATGTATCCTTAGAGATTGAACGTAGTGTTAGGTTTAAGCTCTTTGTGTGTAGAAGTGTAATTATACTGAACAAAAATATAAACAAAATATAAACAATTTCAAAGATTTTACTGAGTTACAGTTCATATAAGGAAATCAGTCAATTGAAATAGAGTTATTGGGCCATAATCTATGGATTTCACATGACTGGGCAAGGGCACAGCCATGGATGGGCCTGGGTGGGCATAGGCCCACCCACTGGCGAGTGAGGCCCAGCCAATCAGAATGAGTTTTTCCCCACAAAAGGGCTTTATTGTATACAGAAATACTTCTCAGCACCCCTCATGCTTTTAATCAGCTTCTTGATATGCCACACCTGTCAGATGGATGGATTTTCTTGGCAAAGGAGAAATGCTCACTAACAGGGATGTAAAAAAATGTGTGAACAAAAATTGATAGAAAGAAGCTTTTTGTGCGTATGGAACATTTCTGTGATCTTTTATTTCAGCTCATGAAACATGGGACCAACACTTTACATGTTGCGTTTATATTCATGTTCAGTGTATTTAGTTGACTGCAATGGACTGTAGGAATGTGTACTACAAGTAACTCAAGGCCTCTACTGACTGATAAGAAGTCCTGTGATATGCACGGAGCATGGAGAAATCCTGGGTGATGGAAAAGCACTGAAGTACATCTTTGTGGTAGGGTGGGGCAGAGAGCCAAGTGTATAAGTGGACACTGCACTGTATTGAATGTATGCATTCAGCTGGTACATCTTCCCTGAGTAAACATTTGAAATGTCACTCAGAGTTTGGCCTCTTTTGTATGAGAAATATGTTTATTGTATATTGAGATGTTGGTCTTCTTATCACTAGAGCTTTTGTAACTCTTTTGTAATTCCTTGGAAATAGGTTCAGACACATTTAATCACATCCACATCTAAGCCCCTACCATTTTGATTTGTTCTGAAGAGAAGACGATAGATTCAAATATTTTGTATTGTTAATGTAATCCTTAATGCAGTTATCATGTGAAGTATCTTTCCATTCAACAAACCTATGATCAGTATTTTCTACAGCTGCTGTGACTGTTCCAGGGAAATGAAGATGACCTACATGACATGTTCCTATTTCTTTCTATCATAACACAGGGCTGCCAATGTTTGAATATAGCTTGGAGTGAGATTTCCTACCGTGAATGCCATTGGCTCCACTAGTGAACTATCCCTTTAAAATAAGACCATAGAAAATCCTGCCTAGAGGTGCATGTAGCTCTCCAAGAGGGTTGGCCACTCCTTATCTATGTTTCCCAAATCCTGTGGGTTTGAATGTGTTCATGTGACATAACATTTTTACTAATTACCCGACATTCAAGAAAAATCTAATGAATATCAATCTTCAGGTGGTTGAGGCTGATTTGCAAAACCTTGTCATCATCTTACTCTACATAGGCAAGATATATGCCTACCATTTCTAAAATGACCAAACAGGATATTTGAGGCAAGGGGCATTTCAATATAGCCTATTCTCATTTTATGTAGCTTATTATTCGACAATGTCCATAAATGCTAACAAAAATGCATTGATGCAAAAAAGTATATTCCTTTGCTATGTTTTTTTTTCCCCTCCTCAGTATTAACTTAGTGCCTTGTTCTATCTATCTGTTCTCGATCTATTGGAATATTTGTGTTCTGTATATTTGTATTCTTCTATTCACATTTCATTTACAGTCGTGGTTAAAAGTTTTGAGAATGACACAAATATAAATTCTGCTGCCTCAGTTTTTATGATGGCAATTTGCATATACTACAGAATGTTATGAAGAGTGATCAGATGAATTGCAATTAATTGCAAAGTCCCTCTTTGCCATGAAAATGAACTTAATCCCCCCAAAACATTTCCACTGCATTTCAGCCCTGCCACAAAAGGACCAGCTGACATCATGTCAGTGATTCTCTCATTAACACAGGTGAGAGTGTTGACGAGGACAAGGCTGGAGATCACTCTGTCATGCTGATTGAGTTAGAATAACAGACTGGAAGCTTTAAAAGGAGGGTGATTGCTAGTAAGATTGCACCTAAATCAACCATTTATCGGATCATCAAGAACTTCAAGGAGAGAGGTTCAGTTGTTGTGAAGAAGGCTTCAGGGCGCCCAAGAAAGTCCAGCAAGCGCCAGGACCGTCTCCTAAAGTTGATTCAGCTGCCGGATCGGGGCACCACCAGTGCAGAGCTTGCTCAGGAATGGCAGCAGGCAGGTGTGAGTGCATCTGCACGCACAGTGAGGCAAATACTTTTGGAGGATGGCCTGGTGTCAAGAAGGGCAGCGAGGAAGCCACTTCTCTCCAGGAAAAACATCAGGGACAGACTGATATTCTGCAAAAGGTACAGGGATTGGACTGCTGAGGACTGGGGTAAAGTCATTTTCTCTGATGAATCCCCTTTCCGATTGTTTGGGGCATCCGGAAAAAAGCTTGTCTGGAGAAGACAAGGTGAGCGCTACCATCAGTCCTGTGTCATGCCAACAGTAAAGCATCCTGAGACCATTAATGTGTGGGGTTGCTTCTCAGCCAAGGGAGTGGGCTCACTCATAATTTTGCCTAAGAACACAGCCATGAATAAAGAATGGTACCAACACATCCTCCGAGAGCAACTTCTCCCAACCATCCAAGAACAGTTTGGTGACGAACAATGCCTTCTCCAGCATGATGGAGCACCTTGCCATAAAGCAAAAGTGATAACTAAGTGGCTCGGGGAACAAAACATCAACATTTTGGGTCCATGGCCAGGAAACTCCCCAGACTTTAATCCCATTGAGAACTTGTGGTCAAGAGGCGGATGGACAAACAAAACCCCACAAATTCTGACAAACTCCAAGCATTGATTATGCAAGAATGGGCTGCCATCAGTCAGGATGTGGCCCAGAAGTTAATTGACAGCATGCCAGGGCGGATTGCAGAGGTCTTGAAAAAGAAGGGTCAACACTGCAAATATTGATTCTTTGCATAAACTTAATGTAATTGTCAATAAAAGCCTTTGCCACTTATGGAATGCTTATAATTATACTTCAGTATACCATAGTAACATCTGACAAAAATATCTAAAAACACTGAAGCAGTAAACTTTGTGAAGACCAATACGTTTTACATTTTAGTCATTTAGCAGACGCTCTTATCCAGAGCGACTTACAGTTAGTGAGTGCATACAAAATCCTATGGCCCCCCGTGGGAAACGAACCCACAACCCTGGCGTTGCAAGCGCCATGCTCTACCAACTGAGCTACACTGTAGATCATTATTGTGAGTAACTACAATGTTGTTGATCCATCCTCAGTTTTATACCTTTACAGCCATTGAACTTTGTAGCTGTTTTAAAATCACCAATGGCTTCATGGTAACATCCCTGAGCAGTTTCATTCCTGTCCTGCAGTTCAGTTCAGAAGGATGACTGTATCTTTGATGTGTCTGGGTGGTTTAATACATAATACACAGCATAAATATTAACTTGACCTGCTTGAAGAGCTATTCAATGTCTCATTTGTTATTGTTACCCATCTACCAATCACTGCCCTTCTTTATAAGTCTTTCGAAAAGTTCCCCTGGTCTTTGTAGTTGAATTTGTTCTTGAAATTCAATACTTGATTGAGGGACCTTACAGATACACAAGATGTATGGGGGACAGAGGAAGGGTTGGTCATTCAAAAATCATGTCAACCCCTATTATTTCACACAGAGTGAGCCCATGTAACTTATTGCGTGATTTGTTAAGCCACATTTTACTTCTGAACTAATATTATATTTGATAGATTGTAAAATTACTGTTTTATGTCTTTACTCTTTTATATAATTATATCCTCCTAGTATTAATAGATTGTTTTTATGTATCCTTAGAGATTGAACGTAGTGTTAGGTTTAAGCTCTTTGTGTATAGAAGTGTAATTATACTGAACAAAAATATAAACAAAATATAAACAATTTCAAAGATTTTACTGAGTTACAGTTCATATAAGGAAATCAGTCAATTGAAATAGAGTTATTGGGCCATAATCTATGGATTTCACATGACTGGGCAAGGGCACAGCCATGGATGGGCCTGGGTGGGCATAGGCCCACCCACTGGCGAGTGAGGCCCAGCCAATCAGAATGAGTTTTTCCCCACAAAAGGGCTTTATTGTATACAGAAATACTTCTCAGCACCCCTCATGCTTTTAATCAGCTTCTTGATATGCCACACCTGTCAGATGGATGGATTTTCTTGGCAAAGGAGAAATGCTCACTAACAGGGATGTAAAAAAATGTGTGAACAAAAATTGATAGAAAGAAGCTTTTTGTGCGTATGGAACATTTCTGTGATCTTTTATTTCAGCTCATGAAACATGGGACCAACACTTTACATGTTGCGTTTATATTCATGTTCAGTGTATTTAGTTGACTGCAATGGACTGTAGGAATGTGTACTACAAGTAACTCAAGGCCTCTACTGACTGATAAGAAGTCCTGTGATATGCACGGAGCATGGAGAAATCCTGGGTGATGGAAAAGCACTGAAGTACATCTTTGTGGTAGGGTGGGGCAGAGAGCCAAGTGTATAAGTGGACACTGCACTGTATTGAATGTATGCATTCAGCTGGTACATCTTCCCTGAGTAAACATTTGAAATGTCACTCAGAGTTTGGCCTCTTTTGTATGAGAAATATGTTTATTGTATATTGAGATGTTGGTCTTCTTATCACTAGAGCTTTTGTAACTCTTTTGTAATTCCTTGGAAATAGGTTCAGACACATTTAATCACATCCACATCTAAGCCCCTACCATTTTGATTTGTTCTGAAGAGAAGACGATAGATTCAAATATTTTGTATTGTTAATGTAATCCTTAATGCAGTTATCATGTGAAGTATCTTTCCATTCAACAAACCTATGATCAGTATTTTCTACAGCTGCTGTGACTGTTCCAGGGAAATGAAGATGACCTACATGACATGTTCCTATTTCTTTCTATCATAACACAGGGCTGCCAATGTTTGAATATAGCTTGGAGTGAGATTTCCTACCGTGAATGCCATTGGCTCCACTAGTGAACTATCCCTTTAAAATAAGACCATAGAAAATCCTGCCTAGAGGTGCATGTAGCTCTCCAAGAGGGTTGGCCACTCCTTATCTATGTTTCCCAAATCCTGTGGGTTTGAATGTGTTCATGTGACATAACATTTTTACTAATTACCCGACATTCAAGAAAAATCTAATGAATATCAATCTTCAGGTGGTTGAGGCTGATTTGCAAAACCTTGTCATCATCTTACTCTACATAGGCAAGATATATGCCTACCATTTCTAAAATGACCAAACAGGATATTTGAGGCAAGGGGCATTTCAATATAGCCTATTCTCATTTTATGTAGCTTATTATTCGACAATGTCCATAAATGCTAACAAAAATGCATAATATTTTTCTTAAGACATGAGTCCAAATAGCCTAATTACACCAGCAAAATTGGTAAAGGTGAAATAATAAAAGTATAATAACAGTAGCATTCTTGCTGAGATAGTAATACTCCAATAATATGGCGGTTATGATTATTTTCAGATTATTAGCACTCACGAGTTGAAGTATTGAAGGATTGCCAATTTTTTATTCCATGTTAAAATAGTTTTGGGCCAGTCAGGCTTTATTCATTCCTTCTGCTTTTGAATGTTGAGAGGTAAAAGGCCTTGAAATATACCTGTGCATCAGATTGTTTATGTCCTTATTTTGTCTCTCTAAAACTAGATTGCACACTGTCCATTGTAGGGGATAGGAATTGTTCTAATGACTTTCATCAGCTATTGTGAAAGACCAAATAAATTAAACAAATAATACATTCTCCTGGAGACAGCCTACATCTGCCCCTACACCCAACCCAAATTATCTTTCAATGTATTGTCCCCCCACAGTTACACATTTGGGTTCACACTCTGTTTGGGAAAAATAATGTTCATAATACAGTAAGACAAATCATGTCACCCTACCAAAATTCCTGCTGAATGCTGCCTTTTCGATGTTACAGCCTAATGAACCTAGTGCTAAATTGCCAATGACAAACCACAGAAATAAAATGAATAGAAAGGGCATCTCCATTCAAGTCAGTGATGGCATAATGTGTGGACTGGCAGCCATTTTGAGTGTACCCATTCCTAGGTTGAAGATGACAATACATTTTCGACCTAGACCCATGCAGGAAGTAAGTAGCCTATGGATCTGGGATTGTGCAAGTGGTCATTTAAATCACTAGTATCATATACTGTCAAAAAAAGGAAGCATTCTGCGACAGAAACAGGCAGGGCCATAGCTACGTATGAGGATACCGAGGTCCGGAATAGTAGAATACACAAGGTGCAATTTCGAAACTTGGTTGTGCATCAGCAGTTTTCCTGTTATTATATGTCACTCACTGACAGTCACTCAATTAGCCCATGTCACTTAAAATGTTTAGTTTGGTAAATTAGTCCAGCTATCTAAACTTGTAGTAATCATGGCTGAAGGTGCCCAGGTGCCTTGACCTCCAAGGGGCCCTCAGTGACTTTGTTAGTCACTCTCACTCAGATATCATATTAACATGGCATAAGTCATGCCAATATGGGTAGAATTGCAGGAAATTCGCTTTTATAACTATAAAAATGCCTTCCCACCCCATGACAAAATGTGCAGAATTGCAGGAAATTAGCTGTAAAACTACAACAACAAAAAAGAGTTATGTAAAGCAAACATGTTTGTTTACCTTTTCTTAATAAAATACTTTTTCCTCTGTGCGTATTAAATTATAGTTTTTAATCCCAGTGCTGTTAATGTAATTAATAAAATACTTTTTCTGCTAACAGATTCCTGTGTACTTATTCCTCTGTAGCTGGTAGAGCACGGCGCTTGTAACGCCAAGGTAGTGGGTTCGATCCCCGGGACCACCCATACACAAAAAAAATATAATTATGCACGCATGACTGTAAGTCGCTTTGGATAAAAGCGTCTGCTAAATGGCATATTATTATTATTTATTATTATTATTATGATTACTACATGATTACTTCCCATTTCACACTGAGTATTTCAATACTGTATTCCTGACATAGCTCATTCTAATATTTTTACTACTGCCCTTTGTATTAGTTAAACTGTTTATACCAATGATATATATAAACCCTGGATTGCTGACGCTATGTATTGGCCGTTGAGAGGCTTTGAAGCCACCAGTAGGCCATATTGGCACTCCCCAGTAGGAGCAGCCCTCCATGGGAATGAATGGAATTTTACAGTATTTCAATTAAATGTATTTATGTGACACAGGAGAGGAGTGCTTCTTTGGTATGTAGTTAATCCATGAGGTGCTCTTTGATCATGGGATGAAATACTATAAAATGTATGCACTCACTAACTGTAAGTTGCTCTGGATAAGAGCATCTGCTAAATGACTAAAATGTAAAATGTAAAATAAAAAGAAGTTGATGCTGGATAATGAACAATGCCGAAATAGCATTTGTGCAAAACAAACTTCCAGAAGTAATCAAGGCACTCTCATGTAGTGATCTTTTTAGTTTTTTGCCTTTATTGTTTTACGGCTTATGCATGGCAAGAATGAAAAAAACCACTGATGCGTTGCGACTACAATGGCCTTCATCAGGGGGACAAAAACCGTCAAACATTAAAGGCTTTTTAATTGTTTCACTACACGAGAGTGCCTTGATTACTTCTGGAAGTTTGTTTTGCACAAAGGCTATTTTATTTTTATTCTAAATGTATTTAAATATTTGTTGTTGTTGTAGTGGGTACAGTAACATTAGCACTCTGAAAAAAGAATACTTTTAAGGAAAATGTTTTTGTATATTTTTCATTTTTTTTATGTTTAGCTCACATAATATAATTTAAAAGTATGCATTAATGTGTATGCAATAGAATAAACAACAAATGTCAAAAACAAATGTAGATATTAATAAATGCATTTATATAGCTTCCAAATCTTTTTTTACAATGGAGGCAGAGTGCCAATATGGCTGTGCAGTGGCTTCAATACCGCACCCCATGTCGGTCATCCAGGGTTTGTACACATCATTGGTTTATACACACCCCATATTTATTTATATACTGGATTCTTGACATAGCTCACTCTAGTATATCTACTGCTGTACTGTACATATCATTCTCTCTGCTTCCGCACAGCAAACGGTACCGGTGCATCAAGTGTGACACCAACAGGCTAAATAGCTAACATAATGGCTATTTGCTGTTTATCATATATCCTGATGCCTATTCACCTAGCTTACCCCTATACATAGCTATCTATATCACTCCAGTATCCCTGCACATTGTAAATATGGTATTGGAACTGACCCTGTATATAGCTTCTTACTTTCCCATGTTCTTCTTATTTCTTATTTTTAGTTCTTGTGTGTTTTTGTTCTACCTTGTTTTATTTTTAGTGCTACATTGATATTGATTACTGTATTGGGTTTGGAGCTTGCAAGAAAGGCATTTAACTGTACTTGTGCCAGGACATAAAAATTATTCCGGTGTACATATGTATAGATTGCATTTTGATTACTGTTACTGTGCTATTTGGGCTGTTAATTGAATTCATCCCAACATTCTTGATTTCTTGTTTTTTATTGTACTTTTTTAAAGATTTTAATTATTTGTGTACTTGTTCTGGGAATATGCTTTGCCAATATTAAAAAGAGTATGAGATTTTAGTGAGCCAAGTGCACAATGCCGGTGGTTCCCAAACGTTTATTTTGCACTCTGACGGACCCGCCCAAGGCCTGTTCCATGGTCTGTACTTGAAAGTACATGACCTCTCTCTGCCCCTCTTGCTGCATGCGGTAAATGTGTATTGGATGGGGGCTGAAGTGGGGGAGGCTGGGATCTGTGGTCAGTCCGTTGAGCTCATGCTATCACTATAAACTGCTGATAAGACTGGAGCATTCAGTCAGCTCAGTACAGATCTCTGCTGAGAGAGAGAGAGAGAGAGACATTATCGTAATCCTAATTGCCCCTATTATTACATTTTCTATAGCATTTTAGAGCAGATATTAGATGTTTGAATCTCCCACTGATGGGCCAACAGAGTATCACACTCCATTGAGTATTGTTTTTCTTGGTTCGACTTTGCGTTCAGAATCCACACAAAGAATTAGAACAGGAAAAGAAAAGACAATGAAAGCACTTGTAGTGGAAAAATATTTCACGCGTGGCTCTGGGTCATGGTTGTTGACATAATGACAGGCCTTGAGGAGGAATGTAACACCATAATGCAAAGCAGATACACACACACACACACACACACAGGCACACACACACACACACACACAAACACACACTCTGCAAATGCCCCTATAGCAACGTCAACTGACAACTCCCCTCTCCTCTCTCTCCATGTCAGTCTCCAAGTGAACCACTTTTATACTATTTATTTAATTGAACCTTTATTTAACTAGGCAAGTCAGTTAAGAACAAATTCTTATTTACAATGACGGCCTACCAAAAGGCAAAAGGCCTCCTGCGGGGACGGGGGATAAAAACAAAGAAAAAGTAGGACAAAACACATCACGACAAGAGAGACACCACAACACTACATAAAGAGAGACCTAAGACAACACAGCATGGCAGCAACACATGACAACACAGCATGGTAGCAACACAACATGACAACAACATGGTAGCAAAACAACATGGCAGCAGCACAACATTGTAGCAGCACAAAACATGGTACAAACATTCTTGGTCACAGACAACAGCACAAACAGTACTGTAGGGGCTGGTCGAACAATGCTGTGGTGCAAAGCATAAAGGATTATTCGCTGTGTGCAGACGATAAGAGTATAGACAGAAAACAAAACCACCTCATCCTGAGTTTCTGTCGTTGTTTCTGTGTTGTCACGGCAATAATCTTTCTCCAACACTAGTCATCCATTAATGGATAACTGCTTAGTCATTTAGAGCTTAGTGTGAATAGGTGTGTCTACTGCAGGCTAGTAGACAACTGCAGGAGGGAACACAACCACAATATACCCCATAGCACAGCACAGGTCTGTTAGTGTTAGAATAATTTCACTGTGAAGTTCATTTGGGGTAATAATGTCTGTTATTGTCAACCAAGTCCTAGCTAAAACTCCAAAGAAAAGTACCTTACCTGTGATAGCAATTTCATGTAGGAGTGTTCTTTTAAGTAGAAATCCATCCCTAACCAGATCTTGCATTAAAACATGTGCATTAAAATCATAGTTAGAGAAATTTGAGGTAAAGTTATCCATGCTGGACAGTTCTGGAGACTTTCAGGAAAGGTTTGATGAGATGCTCTGATGTTACCGCTCTAACCCTCACCTTCACATATGCGCTGTCAGTTTTACACACATGATCCAACAGAAGAAAATATCTCGTAATTTAAATCAGTTCAATTTATGGGCATAGACAAATGACAGATTGGGTTCATATTCTCTCTGATTTACGAGTCCTGGTTTTATTTCCCCTAACCAGGATAACCAGGCAAGGATTGATGATTGTTCTTGTTCTTTCAACAAACCACATCATTTCAACCCCCTGTACCTGTAAATCTTATCAAACTATTGAGAACTAGGCTGCGGTAAAAAAATCGGCTTTGCCTACTGTTCCAGTAAAAGGGAGACTCTATAAAGGAGGTTGCTAAATGAAACTTTCTTCAGTAGAAAGGACAGTGACAGATGAGGGTGTGGCTCTGTGCATACCTCAGCCCCCCCCCCCCCCCCCCCCCCCCCCCACCCTTACCCACCCTTTGCCCTCACCCACACAACCTCTTCCCTTCCCAGCACAAGCTGGGTTAAAGCCAGTGAGTAAGAGGGAGGGGCACCAACATTATGTGTGAAGAGGAATGTGAAGGGATGTAGCTCAGTTGGTAGAGCATGGCATTTGCAACGCCAGGGTTGTGGGTTTGATTCCCACGGGGGGCCAGTATGAAAGAAAAAAAAAAAAAAAAAATGTATGCACTCACTACCTGTAAGTCGCTCTGGATAAGAGCGTCTGCTAAATGACTAAAATGTAAATGTAAATGAATCATTGTCTGGGTGAGAGAAGTTGCATTATAGGCTTACATTTTTTTTTAACACTATTCATAATGACGATGATGTCTTTGCTACAAACAGCTAACAAACTACTGCACTGTCAATGGCCCTTCTGATTTTAGATTTAAGATTGCAAAAAGTCAAAAGGAACATTATCATTTTTAAGTCAAAGGACTGGTCTGAGACCTATCTACAACTCATCTCAGTCTTTATTGGTGTACAATCAATCATACTTTACTTTTGACCAAGTCCCAGGTTATGAATGTGCAATACCACTAGATACAGTTGAAGTCAGAAGTTTACATACACCTTAGCCAAATACATTTAAACTCAATTTTTCACAATTCCTGACATTTAATTCTAGTAAAAATTCCCTGTCTTAGGTCAGTTAGGATCATCACTTTATTTTAAGAATGTGAAATGTCAGAATAACAGTAGAGAGAATGATTTATTTCAGCTTTTATTTATTTCATCACATTCCCAGTGGGTCAGAAGTTTACATACACTCAATTAGTATTTGGTAGCATTGCCTTTAAATTGTTTAACTTGGGTCAAACGTTTTGGGTATCCTTCCACCAGCTTCCCACAATAAGTTGGGTGAATTTTGGCCCATTCCTCCTGACAGAGCTGGTGTAACTGAGTCAGGTTTGTAGGCCTCCTTGCTCACACACGCTTTTTCAGTTCTGCCCACACATTTTCTATAGGATTGAGGTCAGGGCTTTGTGATGGCCACTCCAATACCTTGACTTTGTTGTCCTTAAGCCATTTTGCCACAAATTTGGAAGTATGCTTGGGGTCATTGTCCATTTGGAAGACCCATTTGCGACCAAGCTTTAACTTCCTGACTGATGTCTTGAGATGTTGCTTCAATATATCCACATAATTTTCCTTCCTCATGATTCCATATATTTTGTGAAGTGCACCAGTCCCTCCTGCAGCAAAGCACCCCCACAGCATGATGCTGCCACCCCCGTACTTCACGGTTGGGATGGTGTTCTTCGGCTTGCAAGCACCCCCTTTTTCCTCCAAACATAACAATGGTCATTATGGCCAAACAGTTCTATTTTTGTTTCATCAGCCCAGAGGACATTTCTCCAAAAAGTACGATCTTTGTCCCCATGTGCAGTTGCAAACCGGTCTGGCTTTTTTATGGCAGTTTTGGAGCAGTGGCTTCTTCCTAGCTGAGTGGCCTTTCAGGTTATGTCGATATAGGACTCGTTTTACTGTGGATAGAGATATTTTTGTACCTGTTTCCTCCAGCATCTTCACAAGGTCCTTTGCTGTTGTTCTGGGATTGATTTGCACTTTTCGCACCAAAGTACGTTCATCTCTAGGCGACAGAACGCGTCTCCTTCCTGAGCGGTATGACATCTGCGTGTTCCCATAGTGTTTATACTTGCATACTATTGTTTGTACAGATGAACGTGGTACCTTCAGGCGTTTGGAAATTGCTCCCAAGGATGAACCAGACTTGTGGAGGTCTACAATTGTTTTTCTGAGGTCTTGGCTGATTTCTTTTGATTTTGCCATGACGTCAAGCAAAGAGGCACTGACTTTGAAGGTAGGCCTTGAAATACATTCACATGTACACCTCCAATTGACTCAAATAATGTCAATTAGCCTCTCAGAACCTTCTAAAGCCATGACATCATTTTCTGGAATTTTCCAAGCAGTTTAAAGGCACAGTCAACATAGTGTATGTAAACTTCTGACCCACTGGAATTGTGATACAGTGAATTATAAGTGAAATAATCTGTCTGTAAACAATTTTTTTAAAAATTCCACAAAGTAGATGTCCTAACCGACTTGCCGAAACTATAATTTGTTCAAAAGACATTTGTGGAGTGGTTGACTGGTGTGTTTATGGACATATTCAATCTCTCCCTTTCCCAGTCTGCTGTCCCCACATGCTTCAAGATGGCCACCATTGTTCCTGTACCCAAGAAAGCAAAGGTAACTGAACTAAATGACTATTGCCCCGTAGCACTCACCTCTGTCATTATGAAGTGCTTTGAGAGACTAGTCAAGGATCATATCACCTCTACCTTACCTGTCACCCTAGACCCACTTCAATTTGCTTACCGCCCCAATAGATCCACAGACGATGCAATCGCCATCACACTGCACACTGCCCTATCCCATCTGGACAAGAGGAATACCTATGTAAGAATGCTGTTCATTGACTATAGCTCAGCATTCAACACCACAGTACCCTCCAAGCTCATCATTAAGCTCTAGGCCCTGGGTCTGACCCCCGCCCTGTGCAAATGGGTCCTGGACTTCCTGATGGGCCGCCCCCAGGTGGTGAAGGTAGGAAACAACATCTCCACTTCGCAGATCCTCAACACTGGGGCCCCAGAAGGGTGCATGCTCAGCTCCCTCCTGTACCCCCTGTTCACCCATGACTGCGTGGCCAAGCATGCCTCCAACTCAATCATCAAGTTTGCAGACGACACAACAGTAGTAGGCTTGATTACCAACAATGACAAGACAGTCTACAGGGAGGAGGTGAGGGCTCTGGGAGTGTGGTGCCAGGAAAATAACCTCTCAACAAAACAAAGGAGATGATCGTGGACTTCAGGAAACAGCAGAGGGTGCACCCCCCTATCCACATCGATGGGACCGCAGTGGAGAAGGTGGAAAGCTTCAAGTTCCTTGGCATACACATCACTGACAAACTGAAATGGTCCACCCACGCAGACAGTGTGGTGAAGAAGGCGCAACAGAGCCTCTTCAACCTCAGGAGGCTAAAGAAATTTGGCTTGGCACCTAAAACCCTCACAAACTTTTACAGATGCACAATTGAGAGCAACCTGTCGGGCTGTATCACCGCCTGGTATGGCAACTGCACCGCCTGCAACCTCAGGGCTCTCCAGAGGGTGGTACGGTCTGCCGAACGCATTACCGGGGGCACCTACAGCACCCGATGTCACAGCAAGGCCAAAAAGATCATCAAGGACATCAACCACCCGAGCCACTGCCTGTTCACCCCGCTATCATCCAGAGGCGAGGTCAGTACAGGTGCATCAAAGCTGGGACCGAGAGAATGAAAAACAGCTTCTATCTCAAGGCCATCAGACTGTTAAATAGTCATCACTAGCACATTAGAGGCTGCTGCTGCCTATTGAAATCACTGGCCACTTTAAGAAATGGAACACTAGTCACTTAAATAATGTTTACATATCTTGCACTACTCATCTCATATGTATATACTGTATTCTACTGTATCATAGTCCACGCCGCTCTGTCATTGCTTGTCCATATATGTATATATTCTTAAATTCCAATTCCTTGCTTAGATTTGTGTGTATTGGGTATATGTTGTGAAATTGTTAGATTTACTTGTTAGATATTACTGCACTGTCGGAGCTAGAAGCACAAGCATTTCACTACACCCGCAATAACATCTGCTAAACACGTGTATGTGACAAATTAAATTTGATTTGATTAGATTTATGGCGGTTTCCATAACAATGTTATCTGCTCTTCAGAGAGGAATGCTGCTGAAATCTGTTCCCTGCCAAACACGGTGTGGTGAGGCGGTCCAGGGTGCCACTCAGGTTAGAGAGAGAGAGAGAGACATATCACTGGACACCCTGTGTCCTGCCCTCAGGTGGAATCACACATACACACTCTGAAGACCTTATCCTGCTTCCTATTATAATTATTTTTTAAAGAGCCCACTAATTTTAGTCATATTTTTTTATAGGACCAAATCAAATCAAACTTTATTTAAAGTGCATTCTATTCTTTAACTTTGATTTTTGGTTGAGATGGAGATGTGAATCCAACATATCAATCATACATTTATTTTATTTTATTTAACCTTTATTTAACTAGGCAAGTCAGTTAAGAACAAATTCTTATTTACAATGACAGCCTACACCGGCCAAACCCAGACGACGCTGGGCCAATTGTGCGCCGCCCTATGGGACTCCCAATCACAGCCCGTTGTGATACAGCCTGGAATCAAACCAGGGGTTCTGTAGTGACGCCTCAAGCACTGAGATGCAGTGCCTTAGACCGCTGCGCCACTCGGGAGCCAAATTCCATTTGTAGACGAACTGGAATTAAAACCAGACTAAGTCAGTGGCACAAAAGATACATCTCCAAATGTTGATATTTGGTTGCATTGTCAACCAAACCCAATTCCGTATCCAGTTTGTCTACAAATTAATAATTCACATGTTGGATTCACATCCCCATCTCAACCAACAATCAAAGTGAAAGAATACGACTAAATCGAATTAAATCAAACTTTAAATTAACTTTAAATAAACGTTTATTTGATTTAGTCCTAAAAACGTAGATTTTTGGTTGAGACATGAATCCAACATAAGAATTATTAACTTTAAGATTAAATTTGAAAGCAACCAAAGCTTGAAAACCTACAGTAGGCCTATATATATATTGTCTATTTTTAGTTGAACCCTTGGTTGAATTGAAACAATAGCTGTTGATGACTTCGCAAATGCTATATACTAAATAGTATCATTGATTGTATATCAATATTATATTTATAAAGTATGGTAGATTTCATTTGCTCTGTTAAACCTACCCTTTGGAATTACTTTGATAGCAAGAGTGAATCTATTTAGTTATTAATCATTTTCACGATAGCACATTGGTAGTAGTCAGTAACCAATATCAAAGCTAGGCATGACTGGGTTTGGGTTAAAACCCTGGATGGGAGACCAATGGCTAGCTGTAGATAGATAAACTTTCCAGTAGGAGGTACTACCGAGCCTACAGTTTTTTTCTGATAGTGGATATAACGTTGAAGATCTGACGTTGTTTCAAAGGTACAAATTCAACATATTTTATACAAGATTTGTCTATGTTGAAAATTGGTTACCATGATGACATAATCCTGTGGTTTAAATTTCACCCTAAAAGCAACAGTTTACGTTGACTTTTTGCAAATCCACTGTATTTTTCACATAGAATACGTTGACAAATGACCGTACATTCAAACAACATTGGTTCAAGAAGTTTGTGCCCAGTGGGATGTGTCTGTCTTTTGTGTATTTTAAGACAAGCTGTGTTATACAGATATCTATCTTAAACAGACAGATTTTGATGGGGCTCTTTGTAGTATGCTAACTAGATTCGGCCCTCCTTTTCCTGTAGTCCACGAGCAGCTCCTTTGTCTTGCTGGCGTTACGGGATGTTGTTGTCATGGCACCACACTGCCAGGACTCTGACCTCCTCCCTGTAGAATGTTTTATCATCTTCGGTGATCAGGCCTACCACCGTTGTGTCGTCTGCAAACGTATTGATGGTGTTGGAGTCGTGCGCAGCCATGCAGTCGTGGATGAACAGGGAGTACAGGAGGGGACTAAGCATGCACCCCTGAGGGGCCCCCATGTTGAGGGTCAGCGTGGCGGATGTGTTGTTGTCTACCCTCACCACCTGGGGGCGGCCCGTCTGGAAGTCCAGGATCCAGTTGCAGAGGGAGGTGTCCCAGGGTCCTTAGTTTTGTGATGAGCTTCGAGGGCACAATGGTGTTGAACGCTGAGCTGTAGTCAATGAACAGCATTCTCACGTAGGTGTTCCTTTTGTCCAGGTGGGAAAGGGCAGTGTGAAGTGCACTAGGGATTGTGTCATCTGTGGATCTGTTGGGGCGGTATGCGAATTGGAATGGTTCCAGGGTGTCTGGGATGATGGTGTTGATGTGAGCCATGACCAGCCTTCCAAAGCATTTAATGGCTACAGATGTGAGTGCTACGGGGCGATAGTCATTTAGACAGGTTACCTATATGTTCTTGGGCGCAGGGACTATGGTGATCTGCTTGAAACATGTAGGTATTACAGATTGGGTCAGGGAGAGGTAGAAAATGTCAGTGAAGACACTTGCCAGCTGTTCAGTGTATGCTCTGAGTAAACATCCTGGTAATCCATCTGGCCTTGTGAACGTTAACCTGTTTAAAGGTCTTGCTCACATCAGCTACGGAGAGCGTGATCATGTCGTCTGGAACAGCTGGTGCTCTCATACAGGCTTTGCATCCGCTTCATCGGAACACTTCCATATCGAGCGTGTCACTGGTACTTCCTGTTTGAGTTTTTGCTTGTAAGCAGAAATCAGAAGGATAGAGTTCTGGTTAGATTTGCCAAATAGAGGGCAAGGGAGAGCTTTGTATGCGTATGTATAGAATAATCAGATAGATTAATATTATTCATGTCCTTGTTCAGCCATGACTCTGAGAAACATAGGATATTACAGTTCTTCAGATCACATTGATAGTATAGCTCGAACGGAGCTCATCCAGTTTATTTTCCAGTGATTGCACGTTCGCCAATAGAACGGAAGGTAGAGGCGACTTATCCACTCTCCGACGTAGTCTCGTCAGGTATCCCGCACACCGGCCTCTATAGCACTGTCTACTCCTTTGAGTGTCGGGGATTTGGGCCTGGTCCGCGATAATCAATATGTCTTTAGTCTCCGACTCATTGATGTAGAAGTCCTCATCCAAATGGAGGTTAGTGATAGCTGTTCTGATGTCCAGAAGCTCTTTTCGGTCATAGGTAATGATGGGGGAACATTATGTACAAAAAAAGTTAAGACCAGTGCAACAAAAAATACACAAAATTGCACAATTGGTCAGGAGCCCGAAAAACGGCCGCCATACCCTCCGGCGCCATTATCCATTCTTAAAATACCAACCTGCAGAAGCACTATGAACATGAAACCTTGTTAGGACCCACTGCAGAGGAGGCTGGTGGGAGGAGCTATAGGAGGACAGGCTCATAGTAATGGTTGAAATGGAATGAATGGAACAGAGTCAAGCATGTGGTTTCCATGTGTTTGATGTGCTTGATACCATTCAATTTATTCCATTCCAGTCTTCACAATGAGCCCATCCTCCTATAGCTCCTCCCACCAGCCTTCTCTGACCCATTGGTGTAGGAGTGCCATGATGCATTCACTATAGAACCATCACAATGGCTCTCTGGGAAGATATTTGATTGAAAACTCAGAACTAGCCTGGGTACCAGTCTCTTTAGATAATCCACTCGCTGTACTCCATGCCATGTGCCAAAGAGACTGGCCTTTCTGCCATCTTCAAATATGAACATTCTATCCATAGAGATCCTATTAAATTACTAGAGGGGCTATGTCGTAAACCCTCAAAGTTCCATAATGGGGCAAGAATGACAGCCATCTTGGTCAGGGAGAAATCCAAACCAGTCTAATTGGAATGAATGGCAGTAGAGGCATAATCCTGATTTTACTTACACAGGAAAATGAAAATAAGGCATGTGATGTATCAGAAATTGTGTAATGGAATTATAGTCAACCTGAAATATTGTCATATAATTATAAATACAATTTATACTGGTTTTATACCAATCGTCTGTATAAATAGCCTAAAATAATATGTAAACAGACCATAAATGTCTCAGAATTGTTTTCTTGGAAAGCTGGGTGTGCTATTATATGATACAATATCAGTACTTGTTGCATTTACAACTTGTCTATGTCCTATCATCAACTGATTTGAACCAGTGTATGGCTGTGGATTGACTGCATTGTTTGAATAGAATGTTGGCATATTGGCAGTTAATTTGCAATATTTATGGAATCATTCCTCTAAAACTGTCTGGCTAGCTAGCTAACACACATAAGGTACAGATACATTCTTCACATTCATTGTTTTACACAATATCTTATCACAGCATTGGCAAAGTTGACCAACTCCTTGACCAACATGGCTGACCTTTGGACCATCATAAGAAGGTTCATGACCATTCTAGTGTTATATTTCCTAAATCTATGATTATTTTATTAATGAGCTGGAGGAGAACAGAGGATTTGATCCCGATTTGATTACCCTTACAGCTATCCTCCAATCACAATGATTATGTAAATATTGGAACTCTATCAAATATATACTGCAATTCCAACCACAAAACATCATAGTTTTGATGTTAAGCCTCAAAATACAACACCTTGCCTAGCTAACAGCTAAATGTTTGTTTTTTACTTTATACATTCTAATTCTATTTTCGAGGCTCCACATGTTGTCATGGAAAATATTAATTTTATTTCCTGGTTATTTCCAACAACCAATGAGCAACTCCGCCGTAAATCCAGCGCATATTGAACGTTGAGATTGCCTAAAGGCCAGTTTTTTATAACTAACCCAAGATAGACCCGAGCGTGTTGTTTCCAATTGGAGCAAATTAATCATAGTGGGCAAAACAAACAAGGAGGTGGGCAGAGCCAAGCACGAACTAGTGAGATCTTATTAGCACAATCTAGCATTTATTTGCATATTGCATAACGCCTACTTTGTGAAGTGCGCGTGTGCAATAACTCAATACGCCCTTGCACTCCTTCTTAACAACGCAATTTTTTAAAACTTTGGCAAGGGGTAAAGTCTACAAAACGCAGTCCATTCTGTTTGTTCCAGATTCTAGTTTTGGAAACAGAAAAATGTATGGAGATCAAATGTTTCATAGAGAAAATGTGCAGAAGGTCGGCCAAAATCCATCTCGCTCCATCTTCTCCCACTGCCGGCCACTGGGCTTCTCGTCACCATATTTGGTAGTGAGTGGAAACGCCAACTGGATGCTTCACATTTATACATCCGGTAAAATATCTGGCTCATTGTTCTATCTGTGCTGGTCCTCAGACTAGCACAGAACTACCAGGGGCAGGGACAGGGCCGGCCTGCCCATTAGACAGGATTAGGCGGCTGCCTATGGCAGCAGATTGACGAGGGTGGCATTTTCCAAGCGAAACTGACCAAGACTCACCTCCAACACATAAAACCTCACAGAATTCTGCCCAAAAACAACTACAATATCTCTCAACCAGTGGCATATGTGTGGCGGACCAGAAGAACCTGTCGGATGTCGCTGCCACCCATAGTTGGCAAAATTCCCATAAAATGCCCATAGAGTATAAATGACTTTTTCATGGAAATTGAAATTTGTAATGAATCAGATACTTTGAACCCTTTACTTAGTATGTGTTCACAAGTCTTAAATTGGTCAGTTTAGTTGTTTTGACATGCTAGCAAAAGTGAAACTGTTCACATTCGGTGCCTGGCTAGCCAACTGACAGCTCCCGTGTTGGCTTAGGCTAGTAGCCAGTTCCTTGCAATAACTAGTGTTAAAATATTGATTATTTATAGTACAACTAGGCTATGTATCAACAGACCAAAGCGCAGTGTCACGACTTCCTCCGAAGCTGCCTCCTCTCCTTGTTCGGGCAGGCTTCGGTGTTCGTCGTCACCGGCCTTCTAACCACTGCCGCTCCATATCTCATCATTCCATTTGTTTTGTCTTGTCTATTACACACACCTGGTTCATATCCCCTCATTACATGTATACGTGTTCCCTCTGCCCCCCTTGTCCTTGTGGGTGAATGTTTAATGTGAGGAGAGAGTAGCTCGGTTGAGCTACGTATTTAGTATTTGCCGGGGTATATTTTCCCTGTGTGCCTGTTTTGTTCCAGTGCGCCTGTTTTGCGCACTGGACTGTTTGACGTAATCCAGCGTAACTCTGTACTACGGAATAAACTCTGTATTCTGTGATTTACCCTCTTGCGCCTGACTCCTTCAAATCACCTATCACACGCAGATTGATTCTAATTTTCCATATCATTATAATGTTGATGCGGATGCGGGAGTTTATCCGAGATTGCTTTCCTAGCCTAACTGAAAGCTAAATCAATTCAGTTGGCCGAAATGAAATGGAATTGACAGACAGTGATCAAAAGACAAACAGTGATGAAGATTTTGTACCCTACTTCATGTTAAACGATAGCCTACCCTATTCTTAAAACATTAGAAGTGAGAGACAGGTCAGTCACGCTGTCCTAATTCACATTAAATGTTCCTGCATTTGACTGCCTCCTCCCAATGATCAAAGCATAGGCAGCGGATTATATGATGTCCTTTATCTCAGTTAAACTATAATCTATAAATCTTTTAAATGAAATGCAATCGTGGAGAAACTGCCCGCATCCGCACCTTGTGAAGATGGTTAAAGTATTCAGGTGCACATCCCGCTGCACGTCACCCCGCTGCACGTGTCCGAAAAATGAAGACATCAACTTCCAAATTGACAGCTGTCAATCATCAGGATGGCAGCCTTTTCAGGTAGTGAAGTTGCTCATTGTTTAAACAAATTAGATCTAATTAATATGAGAAACGTTGCTAGTGGTTCTGATTTGGCAGAATTGATCAATTATTAATTTACGAGTGGTCTTGCTGGTGCGGTCCGGACCGGCCTTGATTTCAACATCCACGTATGTAGATTTTTGGTCCGGTCCAGACCGGAGATGAGTCTAGACGTCTATGATTGGTTCATATTTAGTTTGGACCGGACCAAAAATCTACATCCGTGGATGTTGAAATCAAGGCCGTTCCGGACCGCACCAGCAAGACCACTCGTAAAATAATAATTGATCAATTCTGCCAAATCAGAACCACTAGCAACGTTTCTCATATTAATTAGATCTAATTTGTTTAAACAATGAGCAACTTCATTTGGCCTTGATTTGGTCCAAAAATAGACATCTAGAAAGGACATCTTTTTAACTTTCATTCAGAACCGAAAATGAACCTGATTTCAACATCCCTAAAAGACGTCATTTCAATGTCAGCAAAATAAGTTTTTTCAACCTTCATTCAGAACTGAAAATGAACCTGACTTCAACGTCCGGAAAATACGTATTTTCAATGTCCGTAAAATAGGTATTTTCAACTTTCATTCAGAACCGAACATTAACCTGATTTCAACGTCCAGAAAATTAGTATTTTCACCTTTCAATCAGAACATAAAATAAAAATTCAACGTCTGGAAAATACATATTTTAAAATCAAGGCCGGTCCGGACCGCACCAGCAAGACCACTCGTAAAATAATAATTGATCAATTCTGCCAAATCAGAACCACTAGCAACATTTCTCATATTAATTAGATCTAATTTGTTTAAACAATGAGCAACTTCATTTGGCCTTGATTTGGTCCAAAAATAGACATCTAGAAAGGACATATTTTTTACTTTCATTCAGAACCGAAAATGAACCTGATTTCAACATCCTGAAAATACGTATTTTCAATGTACGTAAAATACGTATTTTCAACCTTCATTCAGAACTGAAAATGAACCTGACTTCAACGTCCGGAAAATACGTATTTTCAATGTCCGTAAAATACGTATTTTCAACTTTCATTCAGAACCGAACATTAACCTGATTTCAACGTCCAGAAAAGTAGTATTTTCACCTTTCAATCAGAACATAAAATAAAAATTCAACGTCTGGAAAATACATATTTTAAATGTATTTTCAAAGTAATTTTGCTTACTGGGACTATTCTAGATTTGCGGGGGTATAGGAGGGCTGCAATTTTTTTGGTCTAGCCTAGGGCGGCAGAATGGCCAGCACCGGGCCTGACCAGAGGCACATTAAGGAAAAACATTGAATAATCAAACCCACCCTCACCCTTGCCACCCTCCCCTTAGGTTCTCACTTTGTTGTGATTCTAACATCCCTGGCATCCGTGTCTCTGTGCAACCCACCCCTTACAAAAGAAGATTGCATTTTTGAAACTGCAGTAAAAGTGCAGTAACTGCAGCCGACTCTAGTATTTTGGACGCAGTAATTGCAGAATAACTGCAGTGTACAGTAGTTGAATTGCAGTTATACTGCACTCTAACTACAGTTATTCTACAGTGTACTGCAGTTATACTGCACTCTGACTGCAAAAAATGTGTAATAAAGGGACCTGATGGACTTTTACTGTATGAAGACAGACTGCACTGAAATCTCCCACCCTACCTCCTACTCCCTAAAGACCATTAAGTAGTTCCTTGTAATTTGGCAACATATGCAAAAGTGGAATTGTTTTCTGTTGTCAGTACTCTGTCTCTCTTGGTCTGTCCCTGTCTGTCTGCCTGTCTGTCTCTCTCGCTCTCTCGCTCTCTCTCACACACACACACACAGACAGGGACACTGCAATAATATTTAACTAGGTTAATCAACTTATTACCAGGGTAAAGAGTGTTAGTAATGTAAACATCAGGAGTGTCTTTCTCGTTCTATGAGTGCAGTCCTTCCTAGCAGAAACAGAGGTTTGGGAATCTCACATCCCTGATCGAGGTTTTACATCTGAATGAGAAAGCACTGGACACAAGATGGTGTCCTAACATTTCAGAGAATATTAATGACTGAATGCATTATCTGCAGCTGTTGGACTACTAAAGAAATCAACGCAATTTTAGTCAATATGTTGTGATGTGTTTTTTTACATGAGATTGTAATAGTTTATATTTCATTTTCAACACAATAATAATAGCTTTCCCTGTCAGGACTGTGCACAAATCTTCCCTTTCTAGCTTTGCCTCGACTGGCGCTTCTGTAATCAGCCTATGTGCTGTGGTGAAACTCGTGGAGGCGCCGCCTTTTGCAGTCTGTAGTATCATCTCAGAAAAGCTGTGTCTACACCTTCGAAGAGGCCAAAGTCCAATGCACAATAGAAAATACTAACCGCGGATTAAAAGCGTTAACGTTATACTTCAAGAGGGGAACGTCGTACCTAATTGCAATGGCCCGTGTAGCCACTGTTGTTTTATTGTTGCCGTTCATACTAACGGTAAGTAAAGAATAATACTTTTCATATCGTAACAGGTGTTGATAACTATATACCCTAACATTTAAAGCAGATCTCTCCTTTGAGGTGTGGCACTCCTCAGGTAGATTTAAGCGTCAATGTCGACAATACAGCATATATCTCGAATTAATTTACCATTTTATTTTTTTGGCATTGTAGCCTTCCCTTAAGCCTACATGAAGAGAGTGTTTACTCTATATCCCGTGATTTAATTGCAATTCCCCTTTCATTGTTTGCGTGCAAGTGACAACGACTATGGACAACATTAGAATAAAAACTGTTTAGCTGCGTAATGGTGTTCAGGGAGTCATAGCCTACAGAAAGTCAGACCACATCTGGTCAATGTCAGTGAAAGAACTGCTCGTAAAAAATCTAGCTCAGATTTAAAAAAAATATATATACTGACACCCACTATCGACAGTGATATCACTATTACAACTTTCTCCTTTAAATGTTGTGAAAATAATTTGTGAGATATTTTCATTGGTGCTCAGCATACAGAATATTTTTTTTTTCTTCTCAGAAACTGAATAGATACAGCTTCCTTTAGTAGGTGTAGTGATAGTGAACGAAAACTACTTGGCCTAATAGCCTAAGGCTATATAATTGTAAATTGTAAGTATGCATGTCAGTTTTTCAATATGAATAGGCCTAAACATGCAATTATAATTTGGCTTGGCAAGAAACCACACACTTTAGGCCTATATCCATTAATCTGTACAAAGTGGAACAGACACTGAGGAAACAATCATGACATGGATCTGTGTACAGCACACTCAATTGCATTTAGCTATAACTACTGTGCTAGAAAATATAAGATACTGTACAACTTCTACAGTGTTGAGTGATTTAGAAGAGATACATTGGTATTACAGTGTTATTACATTAGTATTTAATGATGAGTCAATGTTATTGGTTGTGTTTTTCTCTGTAGTTTATACGGGTGGTGGCAGCAGAAAGCGGTGGGCTGAAGCTGAGAAGACAGAAGAGAGAATGGATTATTCCTCCTAAGAAGTTGAAGGAGAATGTAGATTACAGAAACAGGGAGTACATCGCAAAGGTATGATCTCATCTCGTAGTCAAACTCATGGAGTGGTTCAGATGTTTCCGACAACCATAAGACCATGACTTTGTCTGCGCATGACATACAGTCAGGTCTGAAATTATTGGCACCCTTCATAAAGATGAGCAAAAAATACTGTATAAAATGAATAATACAAATACTGAACTATATTGTATGCAAACATTTTTTTATTTCAATTATTTTATACTAATACACTTGCTCAGAGAATGAGATGAGTTTGATAAATACATTTTATGTTTGAGTTCTAGAAAAGCAGGCATACAACAATATTTGTTGAGAGACTTCATGTTTTGTTTTTAGCCTGAACCATTCCTCAGCCAGAATGACTGTACTATACGCGTGACCACACATTGGGCTGTATCTCTGAGCAGCTTGCTCACAACACATACATCTTTATTTGTATTTATTTTATTACTTGTTAATAGTTTAATACCTATACCTTGACATGAAAGCTATATTGAAAATAAATAAATAAATTATAGTGTTGTACAACCTAGCTATTCACCGATGCTTACAACACATTGTATCTGCATTTAGGGTCATTCATTGGTGACCATAATCCATCTGTATAAATATAGACTGTGAAGTGTTCGATAGGCGTCTCATGTTACTGCATGTTTCTTTGGACAAATGAGGCTGTTATATGAATACTATTACAATAACAATGGTGTTTTACTATCATGGCTATTTAGGCCTCCTGTAGCTCAGTTGGTAGAGCATGGCGCTTGCAACGCCAGGGTTGTGGGTTCGATTCCCACGGGGGGGCAGTATGAAAAATGTATGCACTCACTAACTGTAAGTCGCTCTGGATAAGAGCATCTGCTAAATGACTAAAATATAAAATGTAATGGCTGATTGGAATGTGTGTCTGTGCCAGATTCGTTCTGATGAGCAGTACAAGTCGCGTGTGACGTACTCACTGACCGGGATCGGTGCAGACCAATACCCCCTGAACTTATTCACCGTCATCTCAGATACAGGCCTTGTCAGAATCAACGGCATTCTGGACAGAGAGGAGACCGCTTCCTACCATGTAAGCTTCCCACTAAAACGTAATCCAAGGTGTGGAATGCTTGTGCACAAAATGTAAGAAATTAATAAAAAATATGTTGTTCTATCATGGCCTCTTTTAGTTACTTGGAGTAGCGAAGTACAACAATGGAGACCGTGCAGAGAAGGACATTGACCTGCATATTTTGGTTGAGGACCAGAATGACTGCTCACCGGTGTTCATTTTTGGCCAATCTGGATCCGTTAATGAGTCAAGTGCTGCAGGCATGTAGTTTCTAACTATTGTAAATGTTTCTATCAAACTTGATGAGAGTTAGTAGTCAGAGTAGTGGTAATGGTTGAAGTTGTAGCAGCTGTTGTACTAGTATTGCTAGTACCAGTGTAATCAGTAGAATAGTGACAGTAGTGATACAGTAGTAGTAGTAGTAATCAAAGTAGTAGTAGTATTAGTAGTATTAGTAGTACTAGTAGTAGTAGTAAAATAAATAGTAATAATACTACAGTATAGTACTGGTATACTGCACAAGTAAACCTTCCCCTTGGTCAATTCCAGAAACCGTTGTCATGAAAGTGATTGCCACAGATGCGGATGAAGTGAACACTCTACACTCTCAGATTTACTACAGCATAGTGGAAAAGAGTGCTTCAGATAGGATGTTCGCCATCAACTACCAGACTGGAGAGATCCTGGTTCGCCAGACTACACTGGACAGAGAGGTGAGAGAGATGCCTTGGTATACTATTATACAGTACACTGTGCATCTATGTGAGCATAGCACGGTATGCGTTGACACTTTCAGAGGCCATTTTGGCAATATTTGAGTAACTGTAAGTAACTGTAAGCTCCATTGTATTTCCTGGTTGTCTAGACTCAAGACACCTACACCCTGACTGTAAAAGGATCAGACATGAACGGAGCATTCGGAGGAAACTCAGGAACAGCAGAAGTTGTGATTAAAATCCTGGACATCAACGACAACATCCCCACCCTGGAGAAAGAATCTGTAAGAACAAAATCTCTACTACTTTTCTATTTTCTATTCAGCATAATGGGGTTATTCTATTTATTATATTGTAGCGACCCAACACCTAGCGGCCTCGGCAAGAGGTTCAGATCTCTTGGCGTAATGGCTAAGGTGTTGGGTTGACAGTTGCTGGACTCCCCGAATTCACTGCAATATGTTCCTGGGTATGTGTGTTTGCAGTACGAGGGCAGTGTGGAGGAGAACACAGTCAATGTGGAAGTACTGAGGATCAAAGCCACTGATCTGGATCTGATGTACACTGAGAACTGGCTGGCTGTGTTCACCATCATCACAGGCAACGAGGCTGGCTACTTCAACATCACTACAGACGCTAAGACCAACGAAGGCATTATAATGATAACCAAGGTATGGGCTGTGATTGACTCAGGCTGGAATTGAATGGAATCACAAAGAACATTTTCTTTTAGATTGAATTCCAGCCTCAGTGTCTTCCCACTGGGCAAAAACTAGTTGAATCAACGTTGTTTCCACGTCATTTCAACAAAGAAATGCAATGTGATGACATTGAATCAACATGGAAAACTGATTGGATTTGCAAAAAGTCATCAACGTAAGGGAATTTCCTATTTTTTCACAGAACTTTTAACCTAAATCCAATGGCATGGTGAAATGTTTTGTTAATTTCACGTTAGTTGACAGCTCAACCAAATGTACATCAAAACTAGACGTTGAAATTACGTCTGTGCCCAGTGGGTTGTAACTACTCGTCTTCTCACCTTATTCCAACATTGTTTGTATCACTTGACTGATTCTACTGTTTTCCCCTGTTGTTTGAATCTAAAGGCACTGGACTATGAGGAGCTGAAAGTGCTCAACCTTGCCATACGTGTTTCCAACAAAGCAGAGTACTACTTTGGCTCCTCCTCTACGAGTGGATCCATAGGAGGAGGAGGGGTTATAGGAGGAGGTATCACGGGCGGTGGTAAGACTTACCCCATCAAGATCAACGTGATCAACCAGAAAGAGGGCCCCAAATTCAAGCCAACGGTTAAAGTGGTGACCATCTCTGAGGACTCCAGCACGGTCACCATTAACAAGGTTATCACTACCTATGCAGCCATCGACAGCGACACGTTACAGATCGCTACCAATGTTAGGTGAGGTGCCAGATGTTTTCATATTGTTTTATTGGAGTGAAGATTATGTGATATGATGTGATGTTATGTGATGTTATGTTAATCTCCATCATACTAAAGGATCATTTAGTTCATCCTAATCGTGTGCCATTGTCATGATAATTTTCTCAGGTATGCCAAATTATACGACGTAGACCACTGGCTGATCATCGATGAAAAGACAGCAGAGATCAAGCTGAACAAACTGCCTGATCGGGAGTCCAAATACCTGGTCAATGGAACATACTACGCCAAGATAATAGCCATCACAACCGGCAAGTACCCATAGTAATATTCAATTGGTCCTAATGCCATTCTGTAAGATATGGAATGAAGTCAAGATATCTGCCTAGAACAGTCGTAGTTGGAGATGCACTCTAGGACCTTTGCGCCACGAGGAGCTAAAAGAGAATAAGTCAAGTCTGTATCTAATTATGTATTTTCTTTTGGTGTCCAGATCTGCCATCCAAAACAGCCACAGGGACAATAGCCATCCAGGTGGAAGACTTTAACGACCACTGTCCCACGCTGACAGCTACGACTACAACCATGTGTCTGGGGGATACCGCTGTGTACATCACGGCTGTGGACGGGGATGCCTTCCCCAACGGAGCTCCTTTCAAGTTCAGAGTGATTCAGGAGGACAGCAAACAGAAGTGGATGGTGGAGCACCTCAATGGTAACAGGCCTAGTCAAGGACTTTGAGGTTTGGCATTTAGGAAGCAGATAGACAATATGACAAGCTTCTCACCAAGGGGCTGTTTTGGAGTTATTTTGTTGAGCCTGATAGAAATTGCGGTCTTAATCTGAATTTAAATTATATATTGTTGTATGTTTGCATGGAATTGATTGATAGATTTGATTTTACGATTTGTACAATTTATTTTTATTTTCTCTCTTTCATGTTCCTTTTAGCCACCACTACCATTTTACGAGACCATGCCCACCTGTGGCCAGGTCACCACAAGGTTGCTGTGGAGATCCATGACCAGCAGGGGAAGGGCTGTGCTGATGTCCAGATTCTGAACGTGATTGTGTGCACCTGTGATGAGGTCAATAAGGTCTGTTTCGACCGGTTGACGGGCAAGGACGTCACGTTAGGAGCGCCTGCCGTCCTACTGCTCCTCCTGGGCCTCCTGCTGTTGCTGCGTGAGTAGGCCCTCTGTTATCTTCATACTCATTGGCTTCCTCAGACTGACTACTTGATAAGAATCTAGGAAGGAGAGACTGCTTCGTAATGCTCACTAACTAGACCTGTTTCAGCATGCTTTGAGTGATTAGTAAGATGGCCAAGACAAGTAATTGATGGGTCATGTCCACAACAGGTCTTTCTGACAACCCACAGGGCACACACTAGTTGAATCAACATTGTTTGACGTGGAACCAACATGGAATAGACGTTGAATTGACGTCTGTGCCCAGTGGGAAGGCATCCAGGCCTCTCGCCTAGCAACATGTCTTGTGCTTTTGTCTTGTGCCCATGAGTTGAAATGTGGAATGTGGGTTTACAGTGGTGCCTCTCCTGCTGCTGTTCTGTCTATGTGGAGGAGCGGCGGCCATTGGAGACTTTAAGGCCATCCCGTTTGACACTAAAGAACACCTGATTGCATATCACACTGAAGGACAAGGAGAAGACAAGGTATTTTATACATAATGGCACTGCCAATGGATGACATCAAAATATTCTAGAGGTAGTGAATAAGAATGATCTTTGGAAATACATGTTATGTTCTGTTATTGCTCAAGTTGAAGTTTGAATTGCTCTGAAATTCCCTCCTCTGATTGACCCACTCATTCCCACTCACAGGAAGTTCCTCTCCTGAACGTTCCTGTAGAGATGGGAACTGTGAATGTAGTCAAGTCCGGGGGAAATACGGGATTCATAGGAGGAGTAGGGGCGGTAGGAAGAGGAGAAGCAGGAGTCATCTCAGGGGACGGCTTCCCCTCGTCCTCAATGTTCACAGGAGCGCACCACCAGTACCATGGCATCCATAAGCCCAATGGCAGATTAGAGGTGGACTACGGCATGGGCGGAGAAACCAGGACAGAACATCATGAACACTCATTGTTCTCCAGATACCGAGCTGGTGCTTACGACGGGATCGCGCTCTCTGAGGAAGTCCTAGAGGAGTACTACTCTGCAGTGAGTATCTTAGATCATCCAACTTCTTGGATTACTCCTTTGACATAGGACTTGAGGGGAAGTGTTATTGTAGCCATTTTGATTCAATGTGTCATTGTCTTAATATATCTGTCCCTATCATATGACCTTTGCAGAAGGCCAATCATGCTGCGCAGAACGACCAACAGCGAGATGCCCTGCTGATTTACGACTATGAAGGTCAGGGGTCACCGGTAGGGTCTGTGGGCTGCTGCAGCCTCATGGGGGCCGATGACGACCTGGACTTCCTCAACGACCTGGAGCCCAAGTTCAAGACCCTGGCCCAGATCTGCCAGGGGTCGATAGCTATGGAGGCGGAGACTGTCAATGTGTCTGTCTCACCCCCTAGTCCTAGTCCTATCATATCCACTCACACAGACGTCAGCAGAAATACTGCTCTCAATGTCAATACCCTCACCACCTCCACCTCCTCCATCCCCCTACAGGAGAGCCTGATTACTCGGGCCCAGGGATCGGCCACCATCCCCAGGGTTCACATCCAGGAGAACGTGGTGATCCCCAGCCAGACCCTCCTCACCCAGCAGCCCACCATGTACTATGCCGCTGCCCCCACCATGTACATGATGGAGCCTCAGCCCCAGTTGTTGCTGGTGGAGCAGAGAGGGGGAAGTGGTTATGTCCATGCCCAGCAGGCGGTAGGCCAGGTGGGGGTAGGGACCAGTCAGGGGATGGTGCAAGTAGGAGGGCTCCATGGTCCTCAGGGTATGCTGCTAGTAGAGAGGCAGGTGGGGGTGGGTGGTGGTGGGGGAGGCCAGTTCTTTATGGGCGGAGGCCAGTTCTTACAGGGAGCCGGCCAAACTATTACTGGGGGAGGTCACGTTATTACAGAGACGAGCAAAACCATTACGCAGGGAGGCCAGATTCTACAGGGGGCAGGGCAGACCATGATCGGAGGAGGCAATCTCTCGCCAGGGGGAAGTTTCTTGCAGGGTTCTAGGAATGTGCTGGTTGTTGAGAGCGGGTCTGGACCAGCCTCGGCAGTAGGGGGCGGTGTAGGCTTATGGGCACCCCAGGTCACCCTGCAGAGAGGCCAGGGGTCGTCCTCCACCTCTTCCTCGGTCCAGGGGTTAAAGGTCAGTGGTCATAGTGTAGAGGTGAGAGGTCAGAGTGGTGCTTCCTCCTTGACCTCCAGCTCTCTGTGTGGCTCGATGGGGTAAAACCAGGCCTCTGCAGCTGCTGTCACAATCAGCACCACACCCATGCCCACGGCTGCACCACGTAGCAGCAGCCACACTGCCGTGGTACAAGAGAAGAAAACCTCTGTCACTGAGAAATATGTTGAGACCAGTACTATAGCTTAGAAAATCAACCTCACATCTGCTTGATAACATACAGTGCAGCCAAGTCACTGTGGGTTTAAAATAGATGTTTTCTTTTTAGTCAATGAAACAACAATCAAGGGAGAGACAGAGGGATTGGTGCTGTCTGCTGGTCTGAAATGAAATGATTCATGAATTAGTCTACCGATTGTTTGTTAACACTACTGTTTTATAATGCTTTTAGTTTTTACTGGCGCCATGGCCTTTATTACGATTACCAGCTGGTATTTAATCCTTGATATGATACATTTATAAATCTGTGACTGTGGTGGGTGATGTATTAATTGTTCAGGTGAGAAAATCTTTCTGTATCTTTGATCTAGCTTTTCTTTCTGAGATGGTCCATTCTTGATCAAATTCATAGCTGAGTAGGCCAATGTTTCCCATGTTATAGTTGTACAAAAGGTACATACACAATTATTGCGCCAGAGAAGTGTGGGACCCCTCAAACAGCCCCTATTTTTCTATTGTAAATAGTTTACATTTTAAGCCAAATAGTGTCATGTTTTTGCTGTTGGGTCTCATATGCATTAACTTATCCCATGATAAAAAGTGTGTTCAAGTTAGTGATGCCAAGTTAATATTATTTACAGAAATTTTTTAATTGTTGCATATATTTTTTACATCTGATCATGCTATATAAAATTTGAGATTATGTAGGATATTTACCATGAGGTTGGCTTATTATGCACTGATATGCATTAAAGTATGACACTGATGTTGCTTTTAATGCTACTGATGTTTTTGCCAATTCTTTCACATCTAATACACCTCTAAAAAATTAATTTGTGGAAATATAAGATATGGAATTTGCCTGCCGTGTGTCTTTCATTGTGTATCAAAAAGTTTGATAAAATGTTTGCATTTTGAGAGTAACAATAAAACTTGAGTGATAACATACATGCTCTGTTAGTCATGCATTATGGTTTAATTTCATTTCTACCTTAGAATCTCCCTCCTGAGGTGTGAAAGTGGTATTTACGTAAATATTGACGAATATGTTATAATTTAGTGTGACTGGAAAAATAACTTATCTACCCCAGTACTGTAAGTGGTTCTTCTGGGGATAGAGAGTGGAAAATCCTGTTTTACACCTTGGCATGTTTACATACTGTATTTAATCTCAGATGTTGTCACTGCTCCACCACAAAAACAAAAGAGGACTCTACAAGAGAGGACTACAGGTGTTTACCAGTTTTCAGTGAAACACTGACTCACCTCCTACACGCCCACTCCCAGAATGCAATTGGAGTATCTTTTCATCTTTCAGAGTTGTTTCAGTCAGCCCACTGAAGTCTGAAAGGAAAAATATTATCACAGATGAAGTACCAGAAGAATGTTAGGCCTATAGTAGTATTTGATTCGATAAGGATGTTTGAAACAAGTTCAAATATTTGGTGTGACTGACTTGCTACTGTGCATGGACCTGGAGTGCATGACATGGTGCTGGACTCACAATACAGAACAATATAATGAGAAGGGGGAAAAGAGCATTCTAATCTGTTGCTGTAAGCAATGGGCAACAAAGGAACAATGCATGTAATGTTGCCAGGTTACTTTAGGGATGATTCGAAATTTACAGAATGGGGTCCTGGAGGAAAATAGGGGAGTGTCATTGTTTTTCAATTTCAGTCAGGTGGAGGGTTTAGTGTTGTTTAAATCGAGTCCAGGGGAGGGTCATGTAATTTGCAGTTGATGACATTTCTATATTTCTCAGTGTTTTAGAATTAGTTGCTGATTATGCTGTTTATGTCTGTGAAATAAAACCAGGAATTGAGGGGGTATGAGAGAGTATGGGTATCATGCCATGGCAAAAAGTATAGTCCTGGCCTACCCATTGTTAGCCAAAGATTTTGAAGAAAATAAAATAGATCTGATTATGTAATGTGATCTATAACAGCACTTTGGTCCACGATGCTTTATGCTAGCAACAAACTGTTAAATACCCGGGAAAGACGTGACTCTGAATGCATATGGGGATATCTTTGTTAAGATTATATGATAATCATTGGCTGAGCTACAACCTTCTATAGCCGAGGAGACAAAACATTTATTTTGCCTGGAAAGTAATCTAATTCTGTCGCTATCAACTGATTGAGCTATTCCCTTTCTGTAAAATAGAAGATGTTTAAACCCAGACAGCTTTTAAGGAAACACTTGAAACCTTCTCTCATTGGGTTAAACCACAGAATAAGAGTAGCTAGCAGTTTTTCTGTATCGGTAGGCCTAGTCTGTCTGGGGTGGAAAGGTATGCCTAACTTTCGAAAGTACCATGCATAATTACGTCTCAGATGTAATTATTTGCAAACAGTTTCTTTGCAAACAAGACACACTGATTTGGCATTGGAGAAAGATAAGATGAATGCATAGCCCTGTCTCTCTGTCCATTCTTAGCCTGTAATTTCGATAGTTTGTGTGGTATTAAATATTCTGCTAAGGTCTCTAGTCATGTAAAATGGCGTAGAATTGCATGAAAGTTTGATAAAGAGCTATTTTTACTCAGACCCGCAAATACAATGATAGATTCATGCAATGCTTTTATTATAAAGAAGATATTTCCACCGCTACTCTTGGTCATGGTGGTCTGAGAACCCACAACTTTCTGGCCCGCAGCCCTGTGAGCTATCAACATTCCTGCAAATACTTACAGGGCAAGGAACACTTTCTAAAACAGCATAGGCCTATCTAAGTTTCTGGTCTGTCATAGAAGTGAGGGTAAATGGTAGGCATGTTCTCTGCTATTCACTTTATGTTTTAATTATTCTTTCGGGTATAGGGGAGGGTTTAGTTATAATATATATTGCTTATATATTGCTGAAGGAAGGGTAACACTTATTATAAATAATTTACACTCCCTTAACAAAAAGAACAATGCCAATAATTTTTCACAGAATTGCTTCAGGTGAAGGAGACGACGCACAGGTGCGGAAGACAATACAGTTGAAACACAAGCGTTTAGCTGCACCTACGATAACGTCTACGACTCATGGGCGGCGCACAATTGGCCCAGCGTCGTCCAGGGTAGGGGAGGGAATGGCCGGCAGGGATGTAGCTCAGTTGATAGAGCATGGTGTTTGCAACGCCAGGGTTGTGGGTTCGATTCCCACGGGGGACCAGTATAAAAAAAATATATATGTGTATTCACTAACTGTAAGTCGCTCTGGATAATAGCGTCTGCTAAATGACTAAAATGTAAATGTCTACAAATCTGTGTACACGAACATGAACTTCGATTTGATTTTGAGTGGTTTCCATCATTGTGTCTCATAAGACACTGAGAACATGTAACGAAATACCTCGATGGAAATTTTGCGAAAAATACACAAGAATAATTTGGCTTATCTCAAGGAATATCCTCTTCCTTGGAGTGTTACTCGTTTGGCTACAAAACAGAGCACATACGCAATTGCAGTAACAGCCCACTAGGTGTCACAATTGGCATATAAAACGCTTAATATCATTGTGAGTAAACTTCTGGACAACCTCCGGACCGCCTCTAGCCATCCTCACATACTTTGTGCCCCCTCAGATTTTTGGGGTGCATGATGCCCCTGAACATACATATGAATAATCAATGCAGTACAGTGTTTTAGATTAACATTGGTGACACTAAATAGGCAGGAGACCTCACATAATGTGACAGGTAACCTAACCTCTGATTTTCTCTTCAGCTAATAACAGACAGGTTACATATACAGTAGATATGGTCTGATGTAAAAGACAGGAGACTGAGGAATAACACGTCAGGGGACTGGAAGTTAAGAACCGTAAGTAAAGTGCTCAGGGAGGTAAAAGGTAGTAATGTGCATACTCATCACTGGGGTTGTGGCAGCTATAGTCAGAGTAATCTAAGACACATTAGTTACTCGGGGGACACATCTGCATATAACACAATGTCAGTTCTGCTGTACCTGGAACAGATTAATGTTAGTAAGAAAGTGACCATAAACCTAGCTTCATGTCCACACTCCGGTTTAACCCTAACCCTATCCATAAACCTAACTTCATGTTCACACCCTGGCTCAACCGTAACCCTAGCCATAAACCTAAATTAATGTCAACACAAAGGCTCAACCCTGACTCTAGCCATGATCCTAATCCTAGCTTCATGTCCACACCCCAGCTCAATTCTAATTCTAATTACATTTTAGTCATTTAGCAGACGCTCTTATCCAGAGCGACTTACAGTTAGTGAGTGCATACATTTTCATACTGCCCCCCCCCCCGTGGGAAACGAACCCACAACCCTGGCGTTCCAAACGCCATGCTCTACCAACTGAGCTACACGGGACCTCGTTCTCAGGCAACAAGGCCAGTCAATCAATCTCGCCGTAATCTAATCCAAATACCAATCTGAAGCAACATGGCTCTCTCTCTCTCTGTACGCTTCTCTCTTTTTGAAAGGTACATTCACTAGAAATAATACAAGATACCAGACAAATCGATCAGGCTACACCCAAGGAAGGAAGGAGGAGAATACAGCCATAACCTCACTCTGGCCTAACCGGTGGTTTTGAGTGATCCTATTGGTTTCTAATTCATATGTTTCTGCTAGGTCCTCCTGGGTAACCACACGTTCATTCAATGTATGATGTATTTGACCAGAGCGTCACCTCATCATTTTAAAATCTTGGCAACTTGAACACTAACAACATTCTGCCTGGTTAGCTTTTTTAGACGTCTTCTGTCAAAATAGAACTACGTCAGTCTTCAAAATATTTATGGACCTTAGCGCAATGAAAAATGTAACCCTTATTTACTGTACCACTAACTAAGTAGAAACTCTTGGCAGTGAGCCTTTCTAGCCTTGCAATTCATATTTTACCAAGGACCTTGTTGTAAATGGTATCAAGCAAATTGAGCAAGTAGAATAAAGGTGTGTGATATTGTGCTGAACCAATATGTGAAGATCTGATTAGGCTTATATGTTCAAAGTTTGGCACTTTGATTTTCCTAATTATTAGCCAAAATATTGAGCCATTGAAAGAGAGCGCCCTAATGATGTAGTCATTGTTTGTGTGCGTCTGTAAGTTGTTCGTATAAGTTTGTATATGGAGTGGATATATTTTTTTATATATTAAAAAAACAAAGAGAGTGCCCTACTTCTCCACACATTAAACCCTATATTCTAACAGCTGCCAAGTCTGGCCAGCCCTTAATCTGATTTACTAGCTCCCAGATCAAAACATGATGAAGAGGAATAAACAGATGTTCCATTTTTCTCTGAATCTTTGAGGAAGTGTTTCCTGTCCCAGGCAGACACCCAGTCAGGATGACTCAGGACACTCACAAGACTATAAAAGTAGTAAGCTTCTAGGGGTAGGATAATAACATTCAAGTCTTACCTTGCATTTTAAAACCAGAAAGCATCTCTTTCATCCAGTATCTTCATTACAGCATGGAAAACTGAGTTATTGTGTTTTGGTTACACCTACTCCCTAATAGTGGTGACCCGTCATTAATACGTGTCACATACCTGTTGTGAGCCCAACATTTTTAGCAAGAAAAAACAAACCAAACAAAAACATTATTTTTTGGGTGGTTGCCTGTTTTGCACATGTTATTTTGGCATTAATACGTGTCACATATCAGTTTGCAAACAATGTCAAATCAATATATAATATAGTTAATAAAGCCGCCTACAAACATGGTCTCTTTTTTGCTTTCTTGAGTAAGGCAGCTCCAAAATGCAGGTGTTTCAGCCTAGCTCAGTGCTTTCTGTGGTGGTGGGGCATGTTATCTAGTGCCCATCCAAGAAGGCTCAATGTCATTGGCCACAGATAAAATGACATAAAATGACGTTATATACAGTAGCTTTGATTGGACTGATCATGTCAATGTCATACTTTCAAAATCTTAGCTAGCAGTCATCATCATGAATCAAATCGACGCTCTACTGGCAAATCCTTTTTAATCCTTGCCATATGATGAGAAATAATGAAGAGAAATTATAGATACAACGTATCGGTGCTCATCGGCCATTGGACATAAACATTACACAACAAGTTGGAAATCACAAAGTCAACAATGAGTGGTTTGGAAGGAATCAGTGGCTAACTGCAAGCATTGCAAAGCAATCATTTGCCTGTTATTCAGTGGAGTGGGTGTGTGGTCCCAATTCTCGGTTTAAGGTTCTCTTTTCCAATCGTAAAATGTTAAACTTTCAACATTGGCCATGCTGTCAATCCGGCATGATTTCTGCTGCGCTCAAAACAACTGTTAACTCAGAACTGGGAAATCTGACTTCAGTGAGTTCAAGACATCTGGGAACTCAGGAAAAAACGACCTCCGACTGGGAAAATACATTTAGAACGGTCATCCAACTCGGAATTGTAAATCGGGAATTCGGGCCTCTTTCTAGAGCTACGACCTGAAGAACACTGACGTCATCGTGATTCGACCTTGTTTTTTTCTGAGTTCCCAGTTGAATGCCAGACTTTGAAGACAAAATTTGCCCATGAAGGACCGCCGCGCAACTTTCCTGTTCAAGTGAGCACAACACAACAAGGTGAGTCCAAAAATGTATTGTATGCTGCTGCATAAATGATGTAATATGCCAGGGAGATATGTATACTGTAGCTCAGAAAGTAATACTAAGTGTATGTTGTGTAGCTGTTAGTAGCCCATGTGCCTCACCCTAATAATTTGGTCTATTTTCCCCTCATAATTTCACCTACTGTTCTGACTTGGTGGTGCACATGTAGCCTATAACCTGTTTTAGAGAAATGTAATCATCAAATATTGTAAGCGCTTTCATTGTCTGCTTATATGCCCCCTTTATTTATCCTACGTTTCTGACTTTGTGTACATGGATAACACTGTAAGAACGGCCCATGTTCTGGATTCTGTCGCTGTACATTTCAAAAGTGCTGAACAAATAGTTATATTGACTACATCCGTCCTAGCTCGGATCGCCTCTTATCCGCTCATCATTCCCTTATGCCATAGATTGTACATCTCAATTGTCAGTAGAAACCACATTTGTTTAAGCAAGTCAGCCATATCAGCTATGTTTTTTTTAAAGGCAGTAAATTAGGCTGAATGAACTGTTTCGCTGCCATACAAGGCTCCGCTGATAGCCAGGTGTACAGTGGTAAGGTGTTGGGACTGCTGTTGGGACTCTGCTGTTGGCACAGCTTTATGTAGGCCCTAACTGTTTGTGGGCATCGTTTGTCACCGTTGTAGTGCAATTAATGAATTGTTTAGTGTTGTGTTGTGGATTTGCTGGCATGCATCCCAACCAATTTTTGGGGGGTTTGCCCCACCAAGATTTACATGCTACAATCGCCACTGCTCCCTAAGTTTGGAGTGTTCATTGTATCTCACCTGCTGAATACGATTAGCACTGCCATGAAGAGAAGCCTACAGACACTGATATTCATAGGACAGCACCCTTTTATTTTGCGACAAATAATGTATTCTGAGGTAAATGTTACAAAACTCGGTTTTGACAATACTGTGTTGTTGTTGTTTTATTGACATTGATACAGCATGAATTGGAAAACCAATGACGTCATTTAAAATACTCACATAATTGTTATGTTTCTAATATCACTTATGGTCTTCAAGACATATTCAAACCACAATGAAACGCAGTAGAAGTAGTAGTTTTTAGGCTAAACAGCTATAATATATCTTGACGTGACAATAACTCATCTGCGCCTCTATCCTTCCATACCTATTGATCATTTAAAATGACTGGTGGATATAACATACAGACAGCTGTGCTGCTTCTACCCAGCATCCCTCAATGGCGGACATCATGGTGCTGCTGAACATCCTGCTCCTCATCCTCCAGCTCGTCTTCCTCGTACTCGCCAATCTCGTCAGCAGTGGCGTCCTGGTACTGCTGGTACTCAGACACCAGGTCGTTCATGTTGCTCTCAGCCTCTGTAAACTCCATCTCGTCCATACCCTCTCCGGTGTACCAGTGAAGGAAGGCCTTACGGCGGAACATGGCGGTGAACTGCTCAGAGATCCTCCTGAACAACTCCTGGATGGCCGTGCTGTTGCCAATGAAGGTGGCAGACATCTTGAGGCCGCGGGGCGGGATGTCGCAGACAGCCGTCTTCACGTTGTTGGGGATCCATTCTACAAAGTAGCTGCTGTTCTTGTTCTGCACACTCAGCATCTGCTCGTCCACCTCCTTCATGGACATGCGCCCTCTGAAGATGGCAGCCACGGTGAGGTAGCGGCCGTGGCGAGGGTCGCAGGCGGCCATCATGTTCTTGGCGTCAAACATCTGCTGGGTGAGCTCGGGCACGGAGAGGGCACGGTACTGCTGGCTCCCCCTGCTGGTCAGAGGGGCGAAGCCGGGCATGAAGAAATGCAGGCGGGGGAAGGGCACCATGTTGACGGCCAGTTTGCGGAGGTCAGCGTTAAGCTGACCGGGGAAGCGCAGGCAGGTGGTGACCCCACTCATGGTGGCCGACACCAGGTGGTTGAGGTCTCCGTAGGTGGGCGTGGTGAGTTTGAGGGTACGGAAGCAGATGTCGTAGAGAGCCTCGTTGTCGATGCTGAAAGTCTCATCTGTGTTCTCCACCAGCTGGTGCACTGAGAGGGTGGCGTTGTAGGGCTCCACCACCGTGTCTGACACCTTGGGTGAGGGCATGACGCTGAAGGTGTTCATGATGCGGTCGGGGTACTCCTCGCGGATCTTGCTGATGAGCAGGGTGCCCATGCCAGAGCCAGTGCCCCCTCCCAGGGAGTGGGTGAGCTGGAAGCCTTGGAGGCAGTCACAGTTCTCAGACTCCTTCCTGACTACGTCCAGGACAGAGTCGACCAGCTCAGCGCCCTCTGTGTAGTGGCCTTTAGCCCAGTTGTTACCAGCTCCGCTCTGACCTGAAAGACCCATGATGAACCTGGGTTAGAGACATAGCATCTTTGTGTGCTAATACACATCTAGCAATACACATCAAGTAGAATGAAAAGTTAGTTAACAAGCTAACAATCAAATGCATTGGGTATATCATTTGTCAGTTTCCATTAAAAGAGACAATTCCATTGAGTTAAGAATGGATAATTACAGTGGATAAAAAACAGCTTAATTGAGCATGATCACTAGTCTGCCGTTATCATGCTCTGAAATATTATAGTGTAGAAGTTTGCATTTGTCCTCAAAGTCTGCTTATACAATATGATGTGAATGTAGGCTTACTATACTTTATGCAGTAGAATAGGGTGGATTTTATTTAGCGCTATATCCCCATCCTGATGAGCACTGCAACAGTAGCAGACTATGCCCTGGGGACTGCTTTCTGCTGAGTCACCATGCTAGCTGTCTGTGCCTGACACAACCGCTCACCGACCATACATCACCTTACTGGCACATTGCTGAGCTGTTGCACATTGAACACACTGTACATATATGTCAAAGTTTAAATTAAGCTTTGCTTCAGAGGACATGACAGTGAATGCTGACACAGACATGACATGCTGTGGGTTGAGGATGCAAGTGCTGACAGGACATGATGATGACCCATTGGGCAAGACAGAACAGACAGATCTGGGACCAGGCTGGGCAAGGTAGCACAAAACAACCTGGAACCCGGTTAGATGATAACCACTACTCACCAAAGACAAAGTTGTCTGGTCTGAAGAGCTGGCCGAAGGGCCCGGAGCGGACAGAGTCCATGGTGCCTGGCTCCAGATCCACCAGGATGGCCCGGGGGACAAACTTGTTACCTGTGGGGGAGGAGAGCCAGGGACATCAGGTTTAGTGAGGGAGGATGGGTGAGGTAGCATGGTGAAGGCACAACTTATACAGTAAACATTGATTCTGAGAAAATTAATCCAAAAAGCTTTGTGGAAATATCTTGGTGCCCATTGGGATATGAGGATATGGAAATAGGGGAGAATGTGTGTTTAGACAAACTGTTTGCCTTTTTTAGAGGGCAAATACTAGTCATCCCCTGACCATGCTCTCCCGCACAGCTTATTAAATAGAGCATAGCACAGACTGCCTCTGATTTTCTCTCTCGCTCTGTTTCTTTCTCTCTGTTTCTTTCTCTCTCTCGTTTCTCTCTCTCTCTCTCTCTCTCTCTCTCTCTCTCTCTCTCTGTTTCTCTCTCTCTCTCTGCTTCTTTCTCTGTTTCTCTCTCTCTGTTTCTCTCTCGGTCTGTTTCTCTCTCTCACACTCACTCAGCCTCCCTTGCAGACCGCAGCAGCTTGCAGCACAGAAAAACTGCTAGCTCCAGTCCAAGGAAGGTGGTGAGAAAAACGCTAAGCTGAATTCATTCAGACCAAGATGGCATCTCCCAGTAGACATGACACATTTTCTATCTTATCGTCATATCAAGATGCTATGATAGAGCAAATCAGACCAGCGCACAGACAGCAGGCAAGCATTAGGGTTTGGTCGGTTTTACAGAGACTGCACTCACTGCAGATATGAGAGAGAGAGAGAGAGAGAGAGAGAGAGAGAGAGAGAGAGAGAGCGCTGATGCAGAGAAAGATGAGATACAGGGGGGGAGAGAGAGGAAGGCAGGGAGAGATTGACAGGTCCCTGCTGCTGTCCTCATTTCCCTGCCCTGCCACAGGGCACACTGCACCCAGACAGATATTATGGTCACAATGTCACATACTCAATTTAAATTAGGCCTACAGAGCATGAGTTTACAAGTCAAATTAGGTCTGCAGTTTTCATCACCAGGGAATATCGTTTTCATTCTGAGTTTATTTTGGGGAAAGCCAAAGTACACAGTGTACAAAACATTAGGAACACCTTCCTAATATTGAGTTGCACCCTCTTTTGCCCTCAGAATAGCCCCAATTCGTTGGGGCATGGACTCTACAAGGTGTCGAAAGCGTTCCACAGGGATGCTGGACCATGTTGACTCCAATGCTTCCGATAGTTGTCAAGTTGGCTGGACATCTTTTGGGTGGTGGACCATTCTTAATACACACGGGAAACTGTTGAGCGTGAAAACCCAGCAGCGTTGCAGTTCTTGACACACTCAAACCGGTGCACCTGGCACATACTACCATATCAAAACGCACTTAAATATTCAGTCACTTAAATATTTTTTCTTGCCCATTCACCCTCTAAATGGCACACATACACAATCAATGTCTCAATTGTCTCAAGACTTTAAAATCATTCTTTAACCTGTCTCCTCCCCTTCATCTACACTGATTTGAAATGGATATAACAAGTGACATCAATAAGGGATCATAGCTTTCACCTGGTCAGTCATGGAAAGAGCAGGAGCTCCTAATGTTTTGTACAGTCAGTGTATACTACAGTGCTTATGGTTTATTTAAAAAATGTGGACCTGTTATTTAGATGCATGCAGAGATTACTTAATGACCCAATCTAGATAGTAAATTCTTATGTATTTACCTGATGCTTCATTGTAGTATACGTTTATCCTCTCCAGCTGCAGGTCACTGTCACCTTGGTAACTGCCGGTGGGGTCGATGCCATGTTCGTCACTTATCACCTCCCAGAACTGAGAATGGGACAGAGATTAGGTCTTGCAAACGTGATGCTTCATGGTTTGACCTAAGAGATCTGGCTATAACCTGATCAAGACATGGAAAAGTACTGGACGGTCGTTGTGCGTAGTCTATCGCAATGGCGCAGCTCCTTTGGTGACAGCATGATGCGCCAGCCCCGCAGGTGCGCGACATCACTGCAGACCCTTTGGCTCCTAGCCCAAGTCCAAGAGGACAACACCCATATCAACCTAATGGCATCTTATAGTTCTAAATAAATTAAATACTAATTTCCACGACACATTAGTCAAAAAATATTATCCCCAAATACTGGATGGGTGATTTTGATCTCTTGGAAAATGTAGTGCAAGTCATGTTGCGCGTATAGTTAAAAATGGGACAAAAGCATGCAGGTCTCAAAATTGGAAACATCTAACAAAAAAAAGTTAGTGCTCTATAATAACCTCTGCGTCCAGACAAATATAAACATACCACCTACCTTGGCACCAATCTGGTTTCCACATTGCCCGGCCTGGATATGAACAATCTCCCTCATGATGATTCCTTATGGGTGCACGCAGATAGCAGCGTTTTGTCTCAACTAACAACCGTGCCCTCAACCTGGTTGGTACTGTATTTCTCGCCTCTCGGCAGTTGTTACATTCTTATGGCGATCGGTAAACCAAAGGACTCATCATGTTGATGCTGATAGGGTGACGTCACACCTGCGCTGCATCCCAATCTCGCGCACCAGCCTATCAGCGGGCACCGGTTTGATGCAGTGGACGGGTTGAGGATCCTGCTGCATCATTCTCAATGACATCACCCTTTCCCGGGCCAAATGCGGGTTGTTGCAAAGCACTTTTAATCTAATACGTGGTACATAGGCCTAGTTGTTAGTTTCCAAGTTAAGGAAATATAGCTTGATTGTCGATAAATATGCCCCTTTTCAATACAACCTAGGCATTGCCCATCTACTGTAGCTTGCAGTCCAGCATCTGCTTCAGGCGTTCTTATTAATCACTTGTTTAGTAGAGAGGGGAGTAGCCTTCACCTGGGATCATGTTTGCAGTGTATTGCGTTATTGTATGACATCATTCAACAGGAAGTGGTGAAAATCAGAGTATTCCAAGCAGAGAAATCTCTTGGCAGCATTAGTCAGTTATTTTGGTTTAGTAGTATGGTCTTAACATTTAAAGATCAAATCAAATTTGATTGGCTACATACATATTTTTTGCAGATGTTATTGCAGGTGTAGCGAAATTCTAATCAATACAACTAATTACGAATCATATTTAGGGGATGACTTTCCAGCACAGCAGTAAACCAACATGCATCCAAAAATTCAATAAGAAAGTGAATATTGAAAACTGATCCACTACATACAACATTGACACACATTATGCCCATGTCATTATCTTGGGTTAGAGAGGACTTCAAGTGGGAAAAAATATAAAACAAGAACCTGAAAATTCAATATCAAAAGGTGGCTTGAAAATAGTCTGAAGACCAATTAACTCAACCAAGACTCAGAATGCATCATTGATCAATAAATAGTGAAGTTTATTACAACGACACATATGGCTTATATACAAGTGCATTATTCAAGTTAAAACCAAAAAGGGAAAATTAAACTTTTGTTTCTGTGTTTTTACATTCATTCATCCAAATCTTGCACCAACAAACTCATTTCAGCAACAGAGATGTTTGGCTGCAGTGGGGACAATTTAGGATGAGTGGAGTCATTCGATCAGTTGAAAACCATTTCCAAACCACTGTATAATGGCACAACCTATCAATCCACAGAGAATCATTGTCAGTTTACATAACATCTGTCTGCTTTTCCATCTCTAAATGCATCTTCTTTACCATGGTGTATTAGATCTACTTGTATTGTTTTACTATAGCCACTCTCCAAGCCATCACCCCTCTCTACCCATAGAAATATAATTAATCATTATACTTATGACTAACCATACACCATCACTGGTGCTGATGTTGCTATTACATATGAAATCTGAGACTGTCATGTAAGGTTGTAATGTGTTCTATTGTGACATTTTAAGACGAGTGTCTGCTAAATGACCAAAATGTAAATGAAAAATGTCATTTTCATTTGAGGGTGCACCATTTGTTCCTTTGGGTATCATAATTCACATATTACAGCTAACCAATGAGATGGTACGGTTGCAGTTCAAGAAATGGGGGGTGAGAAGTATTGCTACAGCTGCAGACAATATACTCTATCATTTGTACGATTGACCTCTGTTGTTCCAGTGTGAATAGACTATCATGTGTTAATATCAATACCGTCCTCACATCACAGCTAGCCAAATGTACTAATCTGACTTGGCAGGAGTACAGGAGACATTGTGGTTTGAGGCGTGAAGTCTATTAGATAATAAAGAAGCTAAGAGACCCATATAGGGGTGTACTGAAGTCCTTTCTGCACCATACTTGAGTCTTCTGACCAGGGTGTATATAGTATTAGGAATGAAGACCACAGGAAAAAGTAGATATTCTTGAACAGTGTGCTTATTTACCAGGAAATAACCAGAGAATTAACGGAAAGTATGTTGTTACACTTTTAGTATTTACATAGTTATTTTTACATCCATAGAACTACATGACAGGGTGTGTTGTGATGACTACTGTATGATTAGTGTACAGTAGAGGGATCATAGTGGCTGCTATTGCATGATACACAATACTTTGGTAACTTCTAAAGCCATTGTATTTTCCTGTTTAAATATATATTAATAAACACACTGTAAAAGACTGTGGACTCCATGGCATTTGAAAGGACAAGACATCAATCAATGAGATTTGGAAAAAAAAGCTCTACAGCACAATAAGTGATGTTATATTTGTAAACAGTGACCTAACAAAGCAGAGATCTCAGCACAATCTAGCCTAACTAGTGAACTGACAGCCACCATTTTGTTTGCCCGGTATGTACTATCGTCAATAGTCAGTCAATCACAGATGTTGGTAAAGCATGATGTTGACACTAGACATTTGGGTTTTTCAAAGAAAAAGAAAGCTCTTCACATATTTTTGTTTTAATAAAAATAATCAGAGACATTTGTCGTTTTTTTTTTCTCATTGTGATCACAACATTTCGCTATCATGTCTGTATTGATTACAATGAAAGCACTTCATGTAAATGGTAGTTAATATTTTGAAGTAAAAAACAAACAAAAACAGGAGCGGGATAAACCTATATTTCGAAATGCAACAGAATTTGAGTCAATATCACAAATATATCAATTTTGCATACTTTTGTGAAGTTTCAATATTTTCTGGTATATTTTTTAGGAAATAAACAAAATATTTTTACGTCACCAAATATGCAAATTACATGTCAAAAATACACACAAGATCATGGCAATGACAGATATATTGGTAATGAAGACAAAATCATTTTGTCATTCATGTGTCCATTTCAGAGAGAGAGCTCATGTTTTTTTAGATAACATTTGATCACTTCTTTGTTTCATAGAAAAGTTCACATTTTTGTTTACATGCTTTGTCCCCGTAGCGAAGGATAAAGTGCCACTTACATTCACACAAATAATGTTAACATTGCCGCCTAGCTTTATACACTAAGGACACCCCCCGTGAAATTTTTGTTATGTATATATATATATATTAAATTTTTATTTTGTGATCAAGCGCAACATCAGTAGCACAACATAAACTACGCAATTTGACCTAGAATATCACGTTAACAAGATCCAATTGCATACAGTACAATTCATGAAAGTTTTTAAGAGTGGAAAAATTGTCCCATGAAACAGGGAAATAGTCTGTCAATTCTCAAATGTTTCACTTTCAGGACCGCAACGTCAATAAGCACAACATAGCCCTAGAGGACCAACAGACGTCTCACTTATACCACGTCACTGGTAAAGCACTCCTTCTCTCAACATAAACAGTCCATTGTCCTTTTAACGTTGGAACATACCTCTTCAGTTCACGACATTCTCTCTTTCCCTAGTACATTTTCATACACCCATGTTTGTATAACACTAAGGACTGAAGTCTTGAGATGTGCCGCTCGTGATTTTTAACTCATTGCATCATACATTAAAATACCTCCAATACTTGGGGAAAAACTGTCTTTATTGCCCTTATTTTGGTTTTTCATGTTTGGCAAATTGATCTTTTCCCTACACAGATTCCAATCAGTTTCTGATAACTAATTTCAGCGACAACAAAAACAAATGGGTGACACTCTAAACTCATTTAGATATCTGGCACTGTTGACATTCAAAATTCTGCATTGTATTCTTGAAGTATTTTTCTCTACATGATAAGGCAATTGTACATCATCATCAAATACATTGGGCGTACATCTAAGTCTGCAATTGAGGCAAATGTACAGTCAAATGTTTTTTAGTGGTATGTATAGCATCTCCAACTAACCATTGGGATAAAGTGTCAGAGGAAGTCAAAGTGAGTTTTGGCTGGTAGTCTCTCAGTCTAAAATGACACATACAGATTCCCCTAACAACAACTATGTAAAACGCTGATGATGTCAGTTATTTAGAGTTTCACGCTGTGGCAGAGTAACCACTCATTAGTCACCTCAGTACGGTCCCACTGTCCTGTTCTCTGGCTGTTCCCAGTAAAAGGTGTCACAGAGAAACAATCGTCCCCATATCAAGTTGTTCCCTTTCCTGTCTGTCACTGGCAGTCTCCCTACAGAGCAGCCAAAATGTCTGAGGCCTGATCGGCCAGTTAGTGACTCCATACATGTGACATGGATGTCCAGGGCTTCTTCCTCCATGAGGGAGAGGCACACCTCCTTGTTCCAGAGGTGGAGCCTTGGATCATGATGACTCCACCCCGTTGATGACGAGGTTTTCTGAGATGGTACAGTCCATTATAGGGAGGATACCCGAGTCTATGGGGGAGGAGATGGTGCAGTCCATTATTGTGGAAGCAGGGGCTGCCTCTGTGGTCTCAGAGTCTGTTACGTTGGGGTGCAGTGAGTCTATGACAAGCGGAATGGTGGAGTCCAATGAAAGGGGTTGAACAATGTCTGTGATGGGGAGAGTGGTAGAGTCCACAGTGGGGGTATGAACAGTGTCCATGACAGGGGGCGTGGAAGAGTCCACTGTTGTGGGGGTATGACCTGAGTCATTGGGTGGTGGGGGTGGTGTGCGGGTGGGGCGATGAACAGGGGAAGGGGGAGAAACGATAACATCATTTACACATTGAGATGAAGAGTCCAACTCTGGAGTATGGACAGAGTCTGTCTGAAGGGGAATGATACCGTCTGATGTAGGAGGAGGAGGAGCCGGGAGTATGTCATCTACAGAGTCTATGATAGAGTCTGCGGTTATTGGGTCAGTAGAATCAATAGGAGTGGTACAGTCCGCCATGGGGAAAGGGAGAATAATGTCATTGATGACAGGAGTAGGGGAGGGTGTTGGAGAGGGGGGTAGAAGGTCAAGTACAGGGGGAGTGGTAGAGTCCAATGTAGGGGTGGTTTCTATGACAGGGGGAATGGTAGAGTCCAATGTAGGGGTCGTTTCTATGACAGGGGGAGAGTCCAATGTGGAGGTAGGGGGAGGTTCAATTACTTCTAGAGCATCCAATGAAGTGGGGATGGATTCTATAACAGGGGGAGTGGAAGGGTCCACTATGGAACTAGGGGTGGATTCTATGACAGGGGGAGTGGAAGGGTCCAATGCGGAGGTAGGGGTTGAATCAAGTACTGGCAGAGTGGTTGATTCCAATAAAGAGATAGGAAGCGTTTCAGTGACAGGGGAAATGGTGTTGACCAAGATGGATGTAGGGGTGTCTTCTGTGAGGGGGTCAGTGGTAACATCCTTAGTAGGGGAGGGAGCCGTCTCATCATCAACAATGAAAGTGGATGAAGGGGCAACTGAATTAATGAGGGGTGTATCAGCGGAGTCTTCAGTGGATTTGCTATCAGGCTCAGGCTGGAGTGACATCAACTTCCTAGCGGGGGGCGCCGAAATATCAATAACCGATGGTGCTGTGAAGTCAACAGCGGAGGACGCCGTGAACTCCATGGTGGAGACGGCGGTGACGGCCACCTCGTGCAGCGGCGTGTCGTGGACCCGGGTGTAGTCCCTGTTGCTCTCCAACTGGGCCAGGAGGAGGCGCTGTTCGCCAGGCTTCTTAGGGGGCAGCAGGGGCTGGCGGGTGTAGCACTCCCCGTCGGCCAGGGTCTCGGGCAGGGGCTGGTAGCGTGTCTCGGGGAGGAGGAGAATGCAGATTATGCAAATGAGGGTGCAACAGGCGAAGATGATGTGGTGGAGGAAGTAGCCCTTCTGGTTGTGGAGCTCCATGATGGGGGCAGTCAGCATGCCGAAGCCAGCGCTGGCTAGCACCAGGCCCAGACCACCACCCCTACGGAGAGAAACAAGGAACGCCATGTCAGTCATCACTTTTGAAGCCTACAAATCTAAACCAAATCCCAAACCCACCCTTTCCCCCTAGCTCTCATGTAGATTTGAGACGATACAGACCACCACCCCTATACGGAGATAGACAAGGAATGTCAGTTAGGAAGTCACCATCTCTGAAGAACATGGCTACACCCGATCCCAAACCAACCTTCAAGCCCCACTGTCTTTAAACCATATCCATCCTGTAGAAAGGGTGTGGCCTGAAACCTCTGCCTATTTCCAGTGAAATGTTATGCTTAGTTACAGTCCAAATCCATTCAATTTCAATGTTTTCTCTATATTTACATTCAATGGCACATTCCACATTCAAGCCCCTACTAGTCTCATTTCCTTATGCAGACGCACTTGGTGGTCCTCTGTAGCTCAGCTGATAGAGCACGGCGCTTGTAACGCCAGGGTAGTGGGTTCGATCCCCGGGACCACCCATACACAAAAATGTATGCACGCATGACTGTAAGTCGCTTTGGATAAAAGCGTCTGCTAAATGGCATATTATTATATTATTACTTGGTGATGTCTGTGTTATTGACATGTCCTTGCCATTTTACACCCACAGCAGCAGAGAATGCTGCAATACCATGTAACAGCATCCTGCCTAATTTCGCTCCTGTCTGCTCTGTGACTGACCACCAGGTGGCGATCCATAGTCACTCTTCAGGCAGTGCAGTGCACCGCACCATTCCTTACATAATACAACACAGCATCATGATGATCCAAAGCTGTGTCATAGTTTGTCCAGAGATGGAAAGGCTAATTCAAACAAGGCTGATCTGTAAAAGAGACCTTGGTCTCAGCATGACTCCCTGTCAAAATAAAGGTTCAATAAAATAGTAATAATATAAAAATATGGATATTGAACTACACCTTTATTATGTGCATAATTTTAAGTGTTGTGTTTATAGCAGGGTTGTAATATTCTGGTGATATCCTGGCAGGTCAGATACACTTTGAGTCATGAATCTCTCTATTGAGATCAAAGACAGACTACATTATATTATGATAATGAGCATCTTAAAACACAGGGTATTTTCCCTTGACACTATGTGATGACAGACACCTTCAAACTCCACACCTCTTTATCTTTCTCCAATTCCAGTTTACATTGCTTGACAGAGTGAATGTTCTGTAAAATGTTATAAAATTAACCAGACACTTGACCCAACCCATCTCTGAATAAAAGGGGAAGAAAATTGAACCCTGTTTTTAATTTCCATGAGGGCCAAAACAAGCTTTCTCCTCAGCCCTGGCCTGCACATATCCTGACTGACAGCCCCCTCTGAAACCTATACCTCACCACCCCCCCCTCTGTGGTACGCTCCAGTGGTTCGGTCCCAGTGTGTGGGTGGGCTCACCTGATGACGGTGGGGGTGATCTCAGCGCAGAAGAAGATGCTCAGGTTGCTGACAGCATGGGAGGAGAACATGCCGATGATGGAGAAGGCGATGGAGAAGTTCTTATTCAGCGTATCCGAGCGCTCTGTACAGAAAGAAGACAACACACGAGTCAGTCATTAAACACGATTCAGTATTAAGTTGAGATTTGTGTATCCGAGTACTCTGCATAGCAAGAAAACAAACATAACAATTATCCAGCCATCATACAGAGAGAATAAATTCTAATGTACTGTAGAAAGGTGAGATTAGATCAAAGGAAAATACTATATCTAACCATGATAGATTAATGATTCTCATATGAGAATGCTCAGTGCACTGATGAACAGTACCTAATACATTCTCCTAAGAGCAGGGTGTTATTGAAGTAGTAGGATGATCCTATTAACGTACGTAGACGGTTACATAATTCCCATGACGTGTATGTTGTTGAGCATCCTGTGTGTTGTCCATCACCCTGACCATGTTATCAATTTAACTAAATTAGCCATGAAGGATTACCCTGACGTTTATCTGTCTGATCCTCAGCTAAACCACCCTAGAACTAACTTACACGGTGCTGCTGAATGAGACATGTTTAAGTTGATAGAGAGGATAATCTGAAACTGGTCTCTGTTTAGTTTATTGCTGAATGAAACACGTTTAAGTTGTCCAAAGAGGATCAGCTGAGGCTCTAACAGGCCATGCTTATTTTGATGCCAGGTGGAGGATTAGGGATAGAGAGAATGGAGAGAAGAGGAGATCGATAAACACACAGGGGAAGGAGAGGGCTAGAGGCTAGTTAGGGTCAATGAGACAGAGCCAAACAGAGAGGATCATCAGAACAAAGCAAGGATCGGGGAATGAAACACAGACAGGAAGAGTTCTAATACTTCTAAGAAGTCACATGAAGACCAGGCAAGATTTTTAAAAAGTTCAGATGAATGATGGCAATATAACCATATAATGTGCTATTTTTTAAAACATTTTTAGTCATTTAGCAGACGCTCTTATCCAGAGCGACTTACAGTTAGTGAGTGTATAAATGTTCATACTGGCCTCCCGTTATTACACAGTCAATATCAGGTTTATTTGTTATAATGGACTGTAGTACTACCAAGTTGTACAACTAGCCTACTGCTGGTTTCATGTGTTAGCTGTGATGTTTCACTGTGAAGGACAAGCAGGATGGATCTGAATGTGTGTTTGTGCAGTAAACAGAATGCAGCTAGCTTGTCCTTGAGAGATGTATTTATTCAGTGATGCCTACGGGCGTTCTGAGCCACAGTCACATGGTGCCTCTGTTTGAACTGTCACTCATCATTGTCAGCAAACAGACATGACACGCCATGGTTTGCCATCGGGATCTGACTGAACTCTGCAATGAGTTTGTGTTCTGAATGGGTGGGAGAGTGGGAGGGATTGGGAGAAGGGGAGAGATAGGACAAGTCACAGTATTTAGGTCGAGGTGATAGTGAAAAATCAACCTTTGCTTTAAACCACCTCTATTGCGTAACAAACTCACTGCAAAGCCCCTTGTTTTTCTGCTACTATGTTGGAACACTGACATTTTCTTAGTGTCCTCCAATCTTACACAAATGTCAGAGTTCCTCCAATCTTTGTCTAATCATATCAAAGAAATCACGTTAGGACATCTGCAGCTAGCCAGCTATCATAATGTGTTTCTAACAGCTTGAACCACATTTAAGACGGTAGATTGGATATCAATTTACTGCGGAATTCTCCCATCTGCCCAGGACCTTCTTGGTTTTTAATCAAGCAGTTAGTATTTCCAGTAAGCTGATTAAACAGCTATGATCCAGAATGATGGGCTATTGATTAGTTAATAATCTAGGGCAGAGCAACTGCAACCAGGGAAACATGGGCCGAGTTCCCACTAGAATGAATAGGAGAGAAACCAATGGTTGTACTGTACCTATATTCAGATGGACACTGTATTTCCCCAGCACTATAGGAGCCATAGGGAGAGAGAGGAAAACAGAAACAGGTCAATATGTAGTCAAATTATCTTACACACACACACACACACACACACAGTGAGGTTTCCAGTCACAAAACACACACTGGTTACACCATAGCAATAACAAGACAAGATGTTTGCTGTGTGAATGACCTCAAGGTGTATTTGTAGGTCTAGGTTAAACATTTGTTCCCCCAACATTTAAGTGACTCTTTAAAAAGGACTAAGTACTCTGTCAGATTTTGGACAACAACATCTGTCCTTGTTACACAGTAACAAGACCACCTCCCACACCTACATTCAAACTCAACTCCAAAACAACTATAAAGACTATTTCACCTCCATCCCCTGGAGGTCAGGGCCCCTGAGCACATGCCCTGCGTGCCCGGCCGTCGGTAATTTGGGGATGATTAGGCCTACTAGCTGGCTAGACTACCTTACCTAGCAATGTTAGCTGACACAGGCTAATTGATTGACAAGTGGAAAACTGATGATGCACTACCAAATTGCAAAATTGCACTGTGTGTTCTACTTTTCTAACTCTTAACAGTAAATTGAGACTGAGGTCTACATTTTTTTCCAATAAAAAATACATGTTTTTTGGTCAGGTGCCCCCTAGTTGCCATGGGGCCATACGCGCAGTGCATAGTTTGCGTATAGGAAGAGGCAGCTCTGTGCGCACGCAAGTTTGTGAATATGTGTGTACTATACAGTATGTGTATTATACTCACAGTTGAGCAGGCCTAGCTGCAGCAGTGATGCCAGGGCAGTGATTATCATGAACATGAGCAGGCCACCCCTCCTCCCCATCAGGCCCACCGCCGGGCACAGTGCCATGCATGATGCCACTGCGATGCCCGCCATGGTGTAGTAGTCAGCGTAGAAGTTGTGGAACATGGTGGACTCGTGGGTCTCGTGGTGGTCCATCATACTGCGGGCAAAGCAATGGTGGATCCCATAGCCCGTCAGTCTGGATAGACGGAGAGAGGGAGGGAGAGAGAGAGAGAGAGAGAGAGGGGGAGGGAGGAGAGAGAAGAGAGATAATGAAGACAGAGAAAATGGGGGTGTGGTAGTGCAAGAGAGGGAGAAAGGAGTGAGGTGATGAAAGAGCACAGAGAGGACAGAGAGAAAGAAAGAGCGGGATATTGGGAGAGAGGGCAAAGAAAGACTGAGTTCAGACAGAGAGTTCAGAAAAAGAAAGAAGAGGAAAGTGAATTTCTCTCGTCTCTGAAACAAAACTAAAAGCACGCACACAAACCCTCTCTTGCTCGTCTCCAGTTCTCTCATAAGAACACAGTTCATGTAAAATTCATGGTCAGACTAGAGTCAGGGACACCGTGCACTGAAATAGCCAGGGCTGTGTCTAAGTCTGCTTGTCTACAAATGACTGGGTTACGTGAGTGAGGAGAGGTGAAGCTTTATTCTGCAAAAGTTGGACCCCTACAGATCAGCTGGGATAGACAATCTGGACCCTTTCTTTCTAAAATTAGCCGCTGAAATTGTCACAACCCCTATTACCAGCCTGTTCAACCTCTCTTTCGTATCGTCTGAGATCCCCAGAGATTGGAAAGCTGCCGCGGTCATCCGCCTCTTCAAAGGGGGTGACACTCTAGATCCAAACTTTTACAGACCTATATCCATCCTGCCCTGCCTTTCAAAAGTATTTGAAAGCCAAGTTACCAAACAGATCACCGACCATTTCCAATCCCACCGTACCTTCTCCGCTATGCAATCTGGTTTCCGAGCTGGTCATGGGTGCACCTCAGCCACGCTGTAGGTCCTAAATGATATTATAACCGCAATCGATAAAAGACAGTACTGTGCAGCCATCTTCATCGACCTGGCCAAGGCTTTTGACTCTGTCAATCACCGCATTCTCATTGGCAGACTAAATTGCCTTGGTTTCTCAAATTACTGCCTCGCCTGGTTCACCAACTACTTCTCAGATAGAGTTAAATGTTTCAAATCGGAGGGCCTGTTGTCTGGACCTCTGGCAGTCTATGGGGGTGCCACAGGGTTCAATTCTCGGGCCGACTCTATTCTCTGTGTATATCAATGATGTCGCTCTTGCTGCTGGTGACTCTCAGATCCACCTCTACGCAGACGACACCATTTTGTATACATCTGGCCCTTCATTGGACACTGTGTTAACAAACCTCCAAACGAGCTTCAATGCCATACAACACTCCTTCAGTAGCCTCCAACTGCTCTTAAACACTAGTAAAACTAAATGCATGCTCTTCAATCGAACGCTGCTGGAACCCGCCCACCCGACTAGAATCACCACTCTCGACGGGTCTGACCTAGAGTATGTGGACAACTACAAATACCTAGGTGTCTGGTTAGACTGTAAACTCTCCTTCCAGACTCACATTAAGAATCTCCAATCCAAAGTTAAATCTAGAATCGGCTTCCTATTTCGCAACAAAGCCTCCTTCACTCATGCTGCCAAACATGCCCTCGTAAAACTGACTATCCTACCGATCCTTGACTTCGGCGATGTCATTTACAAAATAGCCCATCTGTAATTAGCCCACCCAACTACCTCATCCCCATATTGTTATTTATTTTGCTCATTTGCACCCCAGTATCTCTATTTGCACATCATCTTTTGCAAATCTATCACTCCAGTGTTAGTGCAAAATAAATACAATTTAGTATTATGGCCTATTTATTGCCTTACCTCCATAACTTACTACATTTGCACACACTGTATATATATTTTGACTGTACGTTTTGTTTATCCCATATGTAACTCTGTTGTTGTTTTTATCGCACTGCTTTGGTTTATCTTGGCCAGGTCGCAAGTTGTAAATGAGAACTTGTTCTCAACTGGCTTACCTGGTTAAATAAAGGTGAAATAAAAAAATTGAAAAAATATTCTGAAGGCCAATTTACAGTTGGACGGACAGAAAGACAAAATGGGCAGAGAAACAAGCCTGTTAACGGCACAGACGGACGGACGGATGGACAGACAGACATACAGACAGGTCAGGGACACCGTGCACTGAAATAGCCAGGGCTGTGTCTAAGTCTGCTTGTCTATAAATGACTTGGTTATGTTAGTGAGGAGAGAGGAAGCTTTATTCTGAAGGCCAAAGGACAGAAAGACAGGCGGACGAACGGACAGACAAAAAGACAGACAAACGGACAGAGACAGGACTGATAATAGTACAGAGACAGGAAGACAGAGGGACAGACAGACTGATGGATCGACAGACAGGCCTGCTAAATCAAATCAAATTTTATTTGCCACATGCACCGAATACAACAATACACACCTTACAGTGAAATACTTACTTACAAGCCCTTAACTAACAATGCAGTTTTAAGAAAAAATAGAAAAAAGTGTTAAGTAAAAAATTAAAATAGCAAAGAATTAAAGAGCAGCAGTAAAATAAAATAACAGTAGAGAGGCTATATACGGGGGTACCGGTACAAAGTCAATGTGCAGGGGCACCGGTTAGTCGAGGTAATTGAGGTAATATGTACATGTGGGTAGAGTTAAAGTGACTATGCCTAGATAATAAACAGAGTAGCAGCGGAGTAAAAGAGGGGGTGGGGGGGGGGACAATGGCAAATAGTCCGGGTAGCCATGATTAGCTGTTCAGGAGTCGTATGGCTTGGGGGTAGAAGCTGTTAAGAAGCCTTTTGAACCTAGACTTGGCGCTCCCTCACCGCTTGCCGTGCGGTAGCAGAGAGAACAGTCTATGACTATTTTTAGGGCCTTCCTCTGACACCGCCTGGTATAGAGGTCCTGGATGGCAGGAAGCTTGGCTCCAGTAATGTACTGGGCCGTAAGCACTACCCTCTGTAGTGCTTTGCGGTCGGAGGCCGAGCAGTTGCCATACCAGGTGGTGATGCAACCAGTCAGGATGCTCTCGATGGTGCAGCTGTATAAATTTTTGAGGATCTGAAGACCCATTCCAAATCTTTTCAGTCTCTTGAGGGGGAATAGGCTTTGTCGTGCCCTCTTCACGACTGTCTTGGTGTGTTTGGACCATGATAGTTTGTTGGTGATGTGGACACCAAGGAACTTGAAGCTCTCAACCTGTTCCACTACAGCCCCGTCGATGAGAATGGGGGCGTGCTCAGTCCTCTTTTTTTTCCTGTAGTTCACAATCATCTCCTTTGTCTTGATTACGTTGAGGGAGAGGTTGTTTTCCTGGCACCACACGGCCAGGTCTCTGACCTCCTCCCTATAGGCGGTCTCATCGTTGTCTGTGATTAGGCCTACGACTGTTGTGTTGTCGGCAAACTTAATGATGGTGTTGGAGTCGTGCCTGGCCATGCAGTCATGGGTGAACAGGAAGTACAGGAGGGGACTGAGCACGCACCCCCCGTATTGAGGATCAGCGTGGCAGATGTGTTGTTACCTACCCTTACCACCTGGGGGCGGCCCGTCAGGAAGTCCAGGATCCAGTTGCAGAGGGAAGTGTTTAGTCCCAGGGTCCTTAGCTTAGTGATGAGCTTTGAGGGCACTATGGTGTTGAACGCTGAGCTGTAGTCAATGAACAGCATTCTCACGTAAGTGTTCCTCTTGTCCAGGTGGGAAAGGGCAGTGTGGAGTGCAATAGAGATTGCGTCATCTGTGGATCTGATGGGGTATGCAAATTGGAGTGGGTCTAGGGTTTCTGGGATAATGATGTTGATGTGAGCCATGACCAGCCTTTCAAAGCACTTCATGGCTACAGACGTGAGTGCTACAGGTCGGTAGTCATTTAAGCAGGTTATCTTAGTGTTCTTGGGCACAGGGACTATGGTGGTCTGCTTGAAACATGTTGGTATTACAGACTCAGTCAGGGACATGTTGAAAATGTCAGTGAAGACACTTGCCAGTTGGTCAGCACATGCTCGGAGTACACGTCCTGGTAATCTGTCTGGCCCTGCGGCCTTGTGAATGTCTTAAAAGTCTAACTCACATCGGCTACGGAGAGCATGATCACATAGTCATCTGGAACAGCTGATGCTCTCATGCATGCTTCAGTGTTGCTTGCCTCGAAGCGAGCATAGAAGTGATTTAGCTCGTCTGGTAGGCTTGTGTCACTGGGCAGCTGGAGGCTGTGCTTCCCTTTTTAGCCTGTAATAGTTTGCAAGCCCTGCCACATCCAACGAGTGTCGGAGGCCGGTGTATTACGATTCAATCTTAGTCCTGTATTGACTCTTTGCCTGTTTGATGGTTCGTCGGCGGGATTTCTTATAAGCGTCCGGGTTAGAGTCCCGCTCCTTGAAAGCGGCAGCTCTACCCTTTAGCTCGGCGCGGATGTTGCCTGTAATCCATGGCTTCTGGTTGGCGTATGTACGTATGGTCACTGTGGGGATGACGTCATCGATGCACTTACTGATGAAGCCAGTGACTGATGTGGTGTACTCCTCAATGCTATCGGAAGAATCCCGGAACATATTCCAGTCTGTGCTAGAAAAACAGTCCTAAAGCTTAGCATCTGCGTCATCTGACCACTTCCTTATTAGCCGAGTCACTGGTGCTTCCTGCTTTAGTTTTTGCTTATAAGCAGGAATCAGGAGGATAGAGTTATGGTAAGATTTGCCAAATGGAGGGCGAAGGAGAGCTTTGTACACGTCGCTATGTGTGGAATAAAGGGTCTATGTGTGGAATAAAGGGTCTAGAGTTGTGTTTCCTCTGGTTGCACATTTAACATGCTGGTAGAAATTCGGTAGAACGGATTTAAGTTTCCCTGCATTAAAGTCCCTGGCCACTGGATGAGCGTTTTCCTGTTTGCTTATGGCCGTATACAGTTCATTGAGTGCGGTCTTGGTGCCAGCATCGGTTTGTGGTGGTAAATATACAGCTACGAAAAATATAGATGAAAACTCTCTTGATAAGTAGTGTGGTCTACAGCTTATCATGAGATACTCTACCTCAGGCGAGCAAAACCTTGAGACTTCCTTAGTATTAGATTTTGTGCACCAGCTGTTGTTTACAAATATACACATACCAGCTGTTTACAAATATTCACCGCCACCCCTTGTCTTACCGGAGTCAGCCGTTCTATCCTGCCGATGTAGCGTATATCCAGCCAGCTGTATGTTATCCATGTTGTCGTTCAGTCACGACTCGGTGAAACATAAGATATTAGTTTTTAATGTCCTGTTGGTAGGATAACCTTCATCTTAGGTCGTCCAATTTATTTTCAAATGAATGAACGTTGGCTAATAGGATTGATGGAAGAGGCAGTTTACTCGCTCGCCGTCGGATCCTTACAAGGCACCCCGACCTACGTCCACGATATCTCCGTCTCTTTCTCATGCGAATGACGGGGATTTGGGCCTTGTCGGGTGTCTGTAGAATATCCTTCGCGTCCGACTCGTTGAATAAAAAATCTTCATCCAATACGAGGGTGAGTAATCGCTGTCCTGATATCCAGAAGCTCTTTTTGGTCATAAGAGACTGTGGCAGAAACATTATGTACAGAATAAATTACAAATAATGTGAAAAAAACACACATAATAGTACAATTGGTTAGAGGGCCGTAAAAAGGCAGCCATCTCCTCCGGCGCCATCTTCTAAAAGCACAGACGGCCACTGCTGGTTGATGCTGCATCGAGCTGACAGGTCAATAGTCCCATAATCACGGCACACCAGCCACCACATTTAAATGGATAGTTCGGGATTTTGGCAATGAAGAGCTATATCTACTTCCCCAGAGTCAGATGAACTCATGAATACCATTTTTATGTATGTGTCCAGTATGAAGGAGGTTATAGGTAGTTTCAGGAGCCAATGCTAACTAGTGTTACCACAATGACTGGAAGTCTACAGGAATAGCTAGCATGCTAGCTGTTATGCTAGCTGTTCCCATAGACTTCCAGTCATTGTGCTATAGCAATTGTGCAAACGGAAGTGAGCAACTTCCTTCAAACTGAACGCAGAGACATTAAAATAGTATCCACAAGTTCATCCGACTCTGCGGAAGTAAATAAAATCCCGAAGTATCCCTTTAACACCCATAGGCGTCTGGCTGGCAGCTGCATCATGGACACACGGACACAATACTACATAAACTCACACAGGAACACAAGGAACACGCACACATACACAACCCAGACACACAAAAGAGATACTTACGAGTTCACGCAGAGAACCACAATGTTTTTCCACAGGTTCCTTGTCCCCACCATCTTCACAATACATGTCTTTTTCGGTTTCATCTGTAGAGCTTTCTGCAGCTCTGAAACAATGTAAAGAAATCAGGTAAATATGAGCATAATGCACTTATCTACAGGCTGTACACATCCAACCACAGGGCTTCATCTAAATCCACGTGAGGAAAGGAGACTAAGGACACTTTCAGCTGCAAACTATGTGATTCATCCCAAGACATTTCATCACGTGACTTATCTCTGTTAGAAAACAGGTATGACAGGGGGAAAGAGTGACTGGGTAGGAGGGGAAAAAAAAGATAAGTGAATGAACAATTGAAAGAGGATTGTGTTAAGAAGACAACGCCCCAGAGCAGCGCAGATCATAGCATGGGGCATGGATGGTTTGAAGTACAAGGTGTTGCTATGAAAAACAAACCTCCGCTTTCTGCATGTGCACACGTACATGTATGCACGTGACAGGCAGCATTTCAAGTTTTTACTCATAGTTTCTCTATACAATCATGCAGCTTTGAAGTAATCCTCTGGTCTAGCAGCATAGCCATAATCCTTCATATATAATTGGCTCTCAAACAGCAGGCCCTTCTCAAGGGCTAGTTATGTTACATTGAGTAGGCTACATAACACACACACACACACACACACACACACAGGTTTTTATTGTGAAGTGTTTACATCTAAGCGAGCCACATGCACCATGGAAAGATGACACGAGCATAGTTCTATCACTATGGCTGGGCAGATGGATACACCACTACAGAGAGAAGAAATGCTCTAATTAGCCACACCCATAGATGTAGACGACAACAGGAGGACAGAGTGCTGTGTGTGCAGGAGAGGATGAATGGGGTGACCCTGCCGACCCAGTCTCTCTACGCTGCATCAGAGGATCTCTGGATGCTAAGAAAAGAGGAGTTGATTTCACAACTCTGTTTCACTATGTGTCCTCACTGTATCTTGCAGCTGCGTAGCACAGTATCAGAAGCCTCTGTGAACGGCATTAGCATTGTACTCTGCCTAATCATGCCAGAAAAGAGCACCTGACAGGAAAACCTCCTAGGTAAATTTATTGAACCATGATTTGGACAGGGAAGACAGACACCTAGATCTCTTTTCCAAATACGCCCTTTATAATACAAATAAAATACACATTAAACACATACATTGTAGAATAATAGCGAAGACCGCAAAACTACGAAATAACACATATGGAATCATGTAGTAACCAAAAGTGTTAAACAAATCAAAATATGTTATATTTGAGATTTTTCAAAGTAGCCACCCTTTGCCTTGATGACACATTTGCACACCTTTGGCATTCTCTCAACCAGCTTCATGAGGTAGTCACCTGGAATGCATTTCAATTAACAGGTGTGCCTTGTTAAAAGTTAATTTGTGGAATTTATTTCCTTCTTAATGCGTTTGAGACAATCAGTTGTGTTGTGACAAGGTAGGGGTGGTATACAGAAGATAGCCAGCCCAATTTGCTGAAAGACCAAGTCCATATTATGGCAAGAACAGCTCAAATAAGCAAAGAGAAATGACAGTCCATCATTACTTCAAGACATGAATGTCTTTCAATCTGGAACATTTCAAGAACTTTGAAAGTTTCTTCAAGTGCAGTCGCAAAAACCATCAATCGCTATGATGAAACTGGCTCTCATGAGGACAGTGTCACGATCGTCGTAATGAACAGACCAAGGCGCAGCGTGATGAACGAACATGTTTAACTTTATTATCTTTAGTGATAATAGAACACAATCAACAAAACAAGAAACGACTCGTGAAGTCCACGGTAACAATGACCGAACACGGAACAAGAACCCACAAACACAAAGGGAAAATAGACAGTATAAATATGGCTCCCAATCAGAGACAACCAATGACAGCTGACACTCGTTGCCTCTGATTGGGAATCACTCTAGCCAACATAGAAATAAACACACCAGAATTACCAACATAGAAATAAACACATAGAATGAACACACCCTGGCTCAACATATAGAGTCCCAGAGCCAGGGTGTGACAGACAGCCACAGGAATGGAAGACCCAGAGTTACCTCTGCTGCAGAGGATAAGTTCATTAGAGTTACCAGCCTCAGAAATTGCAACCCAAATAAATGCTTCACAGAGTTCAAGTAACAGACACATCTCAACATCAACTGTTCAGAGGAGACTGTGTGAAACAGGCCTTCGTGGTTGAATAGCTGCAAAGAAACCACTACTAAAGGACACCAATAAGAAGAAGAGACTTGCTTGGCCCAAGAAACACGAGCAATGGACATTAGACCGGTGGAAATCTTTCCTTTGGTCTGATGAGTCCAAATTTGAGATTTTTGGTCCAACCGCTGTGTCTTTGTGAGACGCAGAGTAGGTGAACGGATGATCTCCGCATGCGTGGTTCCCACCGTGAAGCATGGAGGAGGAGGTGTGATGGTGCTTTGCTGGTGACGCTGTCTTATTTAATTAGAATTCAAGGCACACTTAACCAGCATGGCTACCACAGCATTCTGCAGCGATACACCATCCCATCTGGTTTGGGGTTAGTGTGAGTATCATTTGTTTTTCAACAGGACAATGACCCAACATACCTCCAGGCTGTGTAAGGGCTATTTTACCAAGAAGGAGAGTGATGGAGTGCTGCATCAGATGACCTGGCCTCAACAATCCCCGAACTCAACCCAATTGAGATGGTTTGGGATGAGTTGGACCGCAGAGTGAAGGAAAAGCAGCCAACAAGTGCTCAGCATATGTGGGAACTCCTTCAAGACTGTTAGAAAAGCATTCCAGGTGAAGCTGGTTGAGAGAATGCCAAGAGTGTGCAAAGCTGTCATCAAGGCAAAGGGTGGCTACTTTGAAGAATCTCAAATATAAAATATATTTTGATTTGTTTAACACTTTTTTGGTTACTACATGATTCCATATGTGTTATTTCATAGTTTTGATGTCTTCACTATTATTCTACAATGTAGAAAATAGTAAAAATAAAGAAAAACCCTTGAATGAGTAGGTAAAAACACAATCATGGTAAGCACAAATAAAACATCACAAGTCACCCAGAAAAACAGTTACATTCAAAGGGGCATCTATACCATAACCTCTGTCAATAACATAGTTATATATCTTGTTCACTGTAGGTATATGGCATTGCCTACAGTATGGCACTGCCTACGGTTGTATCTAGTCACTATCCAAAGTGATTGACCTGGCCCCATCTGTTGCCTGTGAGCGATGCCTCTCCCCCACCTCCCTCGAAAGGCCCTAATAAAGTTAATTAAGGGTCCGGAGGGTCCCATTCGGAAGGCCACGGTGTAGGTTTACTACCCTGCCAATATCCCTCGGCCCCAGGAGAGGGCTGTTACTATGGCAACCAGGCATAAAGGAAGGAAGGGGATCTCCCCCCTGTCAGTCAGATCCATTCAGACTGACCAAGCACTTCTGTCTCAGAGACAAGCCAGCTGATCTTGCTAGGGGAATTGTAGATATAAAGCCCTTTCCCTTCAGAAAAGAACAAACTCCACACTTTCAAATAACCAAAAGCACAGCAAATACACAGAGAAACAAATTAAAGCCGAACACTGACGTCTTGAGCTGAGTAGCTACACAGCATTATCATCACCAGTTCTAAAACCGAGATCTCAGTGTACCTGTGACTACAGCAGTTAAAAAAAGGGATGACCTCTCCCTCTCCCCTGTGTACTATACCTGTGAGGATGTGGTCAGTGTCCAGCTCGGTGTTAACCTGGTTCTTCTTGACAATGTGTCCCATGATCCACTTGGAGCGGCCATACTGTTGAGTGGCCAGCAGCCACCGCAGCGACTCGGGGAAGATCCTGCATGGAAACAAGACAGAACAATCACTTGAACGCTCTGCTCAATAAAATATGAACAGTTGAATCAAAATTTAATAAGTCCCTTTTTTCCCATTGGGATTTAAGGAGAGGCTGAAAGGAACCTCAATATATCCCTGGGTCTGGAAAATGTGTGTGTGTGAGTGCGCGTGTGCATTCATGAGTTCTTTCTAGCTGATTGAAACTCATTAATAAACTGCAATACTGATCCCTAATCATCTTTTGAAATGATTCCATTACATATGGATGAAGGCCTTTGTCAAGGCGTGCTGTGTGATAGGAATGAGAATGACAAGAGCTATGATTCTCTAGGATGAAAAAAAAAAAGTTTCCTCTCTCTGTTCTGTTGGCAGCTTTCCCATCACATTTCAGTCATTTAGCAGACTTGCAGGAGCAATTAGGGTTATGTGCCTTGCGCAAGGGCTCATCGACAGATTTTTCACCTAGTCGGTTACTGGCCCAACGCTCTTAACCACTATGCTACCTGCCGCTCATCAGGTGTACAGTGTGAATACAAGGTAAATGGTGGTTAATGAATGAGTATTTATTGCCCAGGCCTTAGAGACACCGGCTGTAGTAACATGTACAGTAGAGGTCCTTTGAATGGATGTTAAGCTATTAATTATTATATGCTATTATGGCTGTTAATACAGTGGGGATGCTCCGCTGGAAAATTCCCTTGGGGCCAAGAAGCTTCCCTCTGATTCTATACATTTCTGATTAACCTCCAGTGGCCTGGAAACTATACAGATAGTAGACATGTCCATGCCCCGCTTTTCCCATTATAATTTCATACATACATAATATGAGCATTGGATAAATAGAACCCACATTAGTCTACAACATAACCCAATCATGAACTGTAGTGCATGATGATTGGGAGTGGTAGGCTATAGCACCTAACCAAGTGAATTAAATCAGTAGTCTCAATCGCAATGGGATCACCAGTATAATAAATAGCTAAATATATCAATACTAAGATGCCAAATTGTAGCAGGTGGTGCGTATAGCCTGTCCCAGAACAGTTTTGTGCTTTGCCTGAGATGGGAGTAAAGTGGGTGTTGTCCTCACCAGATATAAGAGACCATGAGGATCAGCGGGCAGATGATGACGGCCTGCAGGACCTGCCAGTCTCGACAGAGGTATGCCATCCCTGGCATAAGGAGCTGCCCGCCCAACACCACGAAGCTGGCAACCATGGTCATGGAGAAACGCCAGTTAGGTAGGCACAGCTCAATCCCTGGACGAGAGCGAGGGGGACATGAGTCACTGATATTACAATCCAGACATAGGCACAGGTGGTGTCACAGTTCCAGACAGAGCTCGACCCCAGGGCAGAGAGAGAGAGGTTAGCCTACATGAGTCACAAACTACAATACAGATACACAGATTCTGATCACAAACACAGCTACATCTATGATAGAGAGACACAATTCTACTAGATACAGATACAGTTCTAGTTCTATGATAGAGATGGTGCAGAGGCAACAAAATGCCAATAATGCCACTCCCACACATACACAACTTGACAGAGAGAGCGAACAGAGGGGAGAGTGGTGACACTAGAGTTCCACTACACAGCTCCATCCCTGGGAAGGAGAGGAGGTATCCTGATACCGATGACACTAGTAGTGTGAACATTATTGTCTAATTACCCTTGTCTAGAACTGATGCAATACTGAGGTAAGATCAGGGACATTGGCCTCTGTTTGACTGATGCCACTGCATTAACCTGCATTATCATATTAACTTACTTCATCTGAAGAGCACTTTAGTGTCTCTGTCCTGAACCAAGCCTATTGCAGTGAACGAATGACGGCCTCCTTGTACTTATTTCTCCCCAGCTACAGCTACTAAAAGAAAGATCCTGGTTCATTCGTACAGTCATTAGCATGCATGCCACCACCTCGCTATCCGGCAGAAACACACAGAACTCAGCCCCTTAGCTAGCTAGACACATTATAAGAGATATTAAAAGCAGGCAAGGTGTCTGGTACTGTACTACTGTAACAATTCCACAGTGGCTTTCCCCCTTTCTCCCCCTCAGTCTTTTGTCCTCCATTCCTTTATATCTCCTCCGGTCTTTTTTTACTTGTGCTTTCTTTTCTGGCTGCTGCACCGGAGTACGCGGCTCAGCTCCAGACGGGTCTTTCAAGGTGACAGGGCCGGGATAATACAGTGTCTGCAGTCTGCAGCTCCGCTCCACTCCCAAAGAAAAGCCCGGAATTTCAATTAGGATCTGCCCCCCTCCTAGCTAGTATGAATAATGCTCTGTGTTCATGGAACAGTAATGCAGCTGGAATGACAAAGCTAAGAGGAGGAGAGGGGAGAGAGAGAGGGCGGGAAGAATGGAGAGCGAGTGTTGGGTTTGGTGTAACTTCACCCTGACACTCTGTAACAGTAACACAGCTGGAATGACGAAGATAAGACTGAAGAGGAGTAGAGGGGGGAGTTTTGTGAGTAGAGTCATGGGTCAGTGGGAATAGCATTGGTTTGGTGTTATGTGGTTGTGAGAATCGAACATACGGATGCATTTACAGAACATTCTGTACAGAATTTCTACGTATGAAAACATGTAAGAGACTCATGCAGACACACATACATCCCCTGACACACACACGTAAACTCCTGAAGTGGCAGAATGGGGGGTGGAGGTGGAGGCCACCTGAGCACCTTACTCCAGCTGACCCTAATCCTCCACACCAATCCTGATCAGCAGTCCCACAATGCTCCAGCCCTGAACCTCCAACCATCAGCTTGGGCCCTGCCTGCTGACACAAAGCAGCACTCAGCTGATGTCAAATGGAAAACACTCACAGAAAGCCAGAGTACCACAGGGGTGACTAAACAGGAATGACCAAATGCACTAAAAAAGGGCTTTGGTGACAACAAGGTGCTCATTGAACGCCAGGGTGATATCATCGAAGGTTGACTAGGAGTAGCCTTACCAACAAAAGCGATAATCTTCCAATAGCTTCTTTGTTTTGCTGCCTTTACCAATACAAGCAGTTGAGTAATGCACAGTGTGGGATCCTTAATAGAACATGCAACTTCAAGAACAGAACGTCCAGTCAGTCAAAGACGGCCCATTGTTCTGAGAACATTACAATATCTGACCACTGACCAGTCCCCAGCAGTCGCATGATCTCCTCATGCCCCGCCCCACTGACCCCAGCCACTGGGTTTGTGTTTGTGTGTTCCCCGCCTGTAAACAGCTCCAGGGCCCACTCCTTCTAAATACAGTACACACGTAAATACACTGAACAAAAATATAAATGCAACAGATTTTACTGAGTTCCTGTTCATATAATGAAATCAGTCAATTGAAATAATTTCATTAGGCCCTAATCTATGGATTTCACATGACTGGGAATACAGATATGCATCACAGATACCTTTAAAAAAAAGGTAGGGGCGTGGATCAGAAAACCAGTCAGTATCTGGTGTGACCACCATTTGCCTTATGCAGCGCGACACATCTCCTTCGCATAGAGTTGATCAGGCTGTTGATTGTGGCCTGTTGAATGTTTTCCTCTTCAATGGCTGTGCGAAGTTGCTGGATATTGGTGGGAACTGGAACAAGCTGTAGTACACGTCGATCCAGAGCATCACAAACATGCTCAATGGGTGACATGTTTGGTGAGTATGCAGGCCATGGAAGAACTGGGACTTTTTCAGCTTCCAGGAATTATGTACAGATTCATGTGACATGGGGCCATGCATCATCATGCTGAAACATGAGGTGATGGCGGCGGATGAATGGCACGACAATAGGCCTCAGGATCTTGTCACAATGTCTCTGTGCTTTCAAATTGCCATTGATAAAATACAATCATTTTAGTTGTCTGTAGCTTATGCCTGCCCATAACATAACCCCACCGCCATCATGGGGCACTCTGTTCATAACATTAACATCAGCAAACCGCTCACCCACACTATGCCATACACGTGGTTTGCGATTGTGAGACCGGTTGGACGTACTGCCAAATTCTCTAAAACGACGTTGGAGGTGGTTTATGCTAGAGAATTGAAAATGTAATTCTCTGGCAACAGCTCTGGTGGACATTCCTGCAGTCAGCATGCCAATTGCACGCTCCCTCAAAACTTGAGACATCTGTGGCATTGTGTTGTGTGACAAAACTGCACATTTTAGAGTGGCCATTCATTGTCCCCAGCACAAGGTGCACCTGTATAATGATCATGCTGTTTAATCAGCTTCTTGATATGCCACAACTGTCAGATGGATGGATTATCTTGGCAAAGGATAAATGCTCACTAACAGGGATGTAAACAAATTTGTGCACAACGTTTGAGAGAAATAAGGTTTTTGGATATTTTTATTTCAGCTCATGAAACATGAGACCAACACTTTACATGTTGCATTTATATTTTTGTTCAGTGTACTTTTGGAATGGTGTAATATGTTTTTCTTAAAGAGATAGTAGATAATAGGCAGAATCTACAGCACACCATTATACTTTTCCCAGTTTTTTCTTGAAGAGATGTACAATTTGAATAAAGTGTGTGCAACCTTGTGTTCAATATGTAAAAGGCTGAGCCTGAGGCTGAGCCTATTTTCTTTGACATAGAAGTTGAGTCTTTCTCCTTCAGGAAACCTACTGGAGAAATACAACAATAGCAAATGTTCCATAACTTGTAGGTAGGTAGGACTGGGGTCTGAACAGATAGTTCAGAGCTTCTGCTCTTTTCTATAACCTGTAGGGAACACAATATATGATCTATACTTGGCATGTAAGTTTCTCGGTTATGGGTGGCACAAAATTAGATATGGGGAGGGGAATAGGCAGGGTATATGCACATTTTATACTGTAGTATTTACTATAGTTTTTAAAAAGCGTCGTTTTGGTGGACTGTAGTGTTTTTGCAGACATGACTGTATTATTTACTAGTGGTTCTGTGTGTGGATAATACTAGTATGTACTATAGAATTCTACAAAATTCTATAATAAGTATCACACATGATCGAGGGATTTACAGTGTGTAGTATAGTATTCTACAGTATACTACATTTTACTATAGAACTCTATAGTAAGTACTGTAGTATTCTATAGTATGTAGTAATTTTTCCCGTGGGTGGGTCTGTTAGGCAACAACTTCCAAGTAATAATACTCAGATCTTTTATAAAATGGCAAGACAATAGTTACAACACTACTTTGTCTGCTGAACGTGGATTAATGAATGTGTGCATATGTGTGACTGTGTGTGTACCTGCCCATGTGAGTTTGTGTGTGTGTGTGTTTCTGTAGTAAAAACACACAAGTCTAAGATCACCAAGCGTCAGCTGGAGTCGTGTAATGCGCGGCGCCATTGGACTCTGGAGCAGTGGAAACGCGTTCTCTGGAGTGATGAATCACGATTCACCATCTGGCAGTTCGACGGACGAATCTGGGTTTGGCGGATGCCAGGAGAATGTTTCCTGCCCGAATGCATAGTGCCAATTGTAAAGTTTGGTGGAGGAGGAATAATGGTCTGGGGCTGTTTTTCATGGTTCGGGCTAGGCCCCTTACTTCCAGTGAAGGGACATTTTAATGCTACAGCAGACATGACTATTCTAGACAATTCTGTGCTTCCAACTTTGTGGCAACAGTTTGGGAAAGGCCCTTTCCTGTTTCAGCATGACAATGCCACCGTGCACAAAGCGAGGTCCATACAGAAATGGTTTATCAAGATCGGTGGGGAAGAACTTGACTGGCCTCCACAGAGCCCTGATCTCAACCCCATCGAACACCTTTGGGATGAATTGGAACACCGCAGCAATGTCCCTGAAGCAATGTTCCAACATCTAGTGGAAAGCCTTCCCAGAAGAGTGGAGGCTGTTATAGCAGCAAAGGGGGGACCAACTCCATATTAATGCCCATGACTTTGGAATGAGATGTTCAACTAGCAGGTGTCCACATACTTTTGGTCATGTAGTGTGGGTGGGACAACCACATACCACAGTCATAGTAAGTACTTTTTCTTCAATAAAGTAGCTATCAGCAAAGTCAGAGCTAGTTAGGGGGAAATTCAAGTGCAATTGTTAGCTCACGAAAGTATTCTATTTAAAAAAATAATAATAATGCTGCATCCGATACAATGCAGTCCGGTTCTGTTGCTTTGGACAGACTGGGCAAATGTCACTTATCCAAAGGGTGGCTACATCATGTTGTGAAAGCGTGTGCCATGTCTCTGTAGTTTGAATAAAACTGATTCAGCAATATGGGCCTACTACAGTATCAAGCAATGGATAGAAGGTCCCCATCCATCCACGGCTCTGGGACTTCTGATAGGGAGGGATACAGCCCCAGGGGAGAGGAAGGGGGCTAGGGGTGAGAGACAGGAATGAAGGGAAAGAAGTTTGCAGAGCAGCCGGGGGGGAATGTACACTCAGCACAAAAATTAACTTTACCCTGCTCAGAGGAAGCACTTAAGTCTGCACCTTAACTCATCTAGAGCAGAGAGAGAGGGGGAGGAAGGGAGAGAGAGGAAGAGAAGGAGGGAGGGGGTTCTGTGGTAGCCCAGCCCGTGAATCACCCAGCCAGTCACAGATTTCCTCCTCTCTCCTGGCTGAGAAAATCCCCCATTTATCCTGCCTAGATATCCTTATCTGTCTCTCTGGGAAATAGGGCTGATCTCAGCG